GGGTTTGGGGGATTTGAGGATTTAGGAACTTGGGGATTTAGGGATTTAGGGATTTTGGGGATTTCGGGGATTTTGGGGATTTCTGGATTTACAGATTTGTCGATTTGGGAAATTGAGGATTTGGAAATTTGGGAATCTAGGAATTTGAAAATTTAGGAATTTTGGGATTTAGAGACTTGGGGATTATATAGTTTGGGAATTTAGTAATTTGGAGTTTAGGGGATTTTGAGATTTGGAAATTTGGAGAATTGAGGATTTTGAAATTTTTATTGTACTAAAAGTTTGAAAATTAGGAATTTAGGGACTCAGAAATTTGTTGATGTTAGAATTTAATGACTTGTAAAATTGAAAGGTTGAGAATTTATGAATTTGTGAATTTTTCAAGTTAAAAATGATCTGAATTCAATAATTAAAGTTGTTAAAAATTTAGGATTTTGGAATTTGAAAATTTGAGGATTATAGGACCTGGAAACTTAGAAGTTTAAACTTTTATAATTATTTTTATAAATATTTTTAGAGATTCAAGTATTTTAAAGTTGGAGATTTGAAAACTGATGAATTCAAGTATATAAAAAATTGACATACATATGCGTAAACATTGAAATTTCCAAATTTAAAGACTTGAGAATTAAAAAATTTTTAAATTTACTAATTTGTTAATTTAACAATCACCCATAAATACTGTACTCGGAAATGATAGTGTTTGCTCGACATTAACAATACTAATTATACCAAAGTTCACCCACATAAAGATCACAGTAAACATCAAATTAACGAACAAAAATTTTCAATTGAACTTAAAACAGCCCTAAAAGAAAACTCGCGCTGAAAGTGTATGTTTAGTTTGTAATTGAATTCAGGAAGCTCGAAATAGCAGCAAAACAGAAGTTGTTCCGCATAAAAGTTCATTCAAACTGACAAAAGTAATTCGCAATGGAGTTTCTGGAACTGACACAGTTCTTGCATCGATAAAATTGCCATCGTTGTCTTACAGAAAGGAAAGCCGGGTTAAGACTATAATACAGTTATTCAAACTGCCAATCATCGAACACCATCGTGGAATATTGAATGTTCGGAGGCGGACTGTCGAGAAAATTGTTTATCAGACATCGCAGCTACGTGAATTAAAATTCAAAGAGCTCCCCTTGGATTTTCTAGGGATGTACTCCTGTATAAAAAGCCACGTGAAAACTGTGGACCGTGCATTCTTCCGCCGCTTTCCGATCAGAAGATCACACAGGTGAATATCTCCTTTCATTCTTATACGTGCTAATCGTACGCTGAAATTTATAATTTGTGTTCTTTCTTTACGTAAGTTAGAAACGTTGATGGTGTTCTAATAAAAATCCAATATGGCGCTTAATATTTCTGAAAATTATATAATTGTTTAAAGAAAATTGAAACCATTACCAATAATGACTGAAACCATTAGAATAACTGTGATTTCGACTTTACACTTTTAAATGTGAAATTTTATAAACTTTATTGTGGATTATTATTAATTACGTTTTAACGAAAATATATTATAGTGTGCTCAATGTGTTATAATGGATTGTCAACTCTTTTGATTATCTTCGTAAAGAAATATCATAGAATAAATGATTTCAGCAAGATTATTTTTGAACAATTGGTGTGTCTTATTGTAATGGCTTATAAGTCTTATGTAAATTTAAAGTTCATTTGCTCGACTTCTGTTAATTACACATAACTAATTCTGTTCCCTATTCATGAGAAATGAGTAAACATTATTTGTAATTGTTCTGTTCATTATTTAGTTGAGATTTGATATTAGGGCTTTTTATTAAACGTTTAGACTGTTCCGAGGCAAAGACGCTTGATCACGTTCGCGCTAAGCTAAGTTCGAAGCCGTCGCTATGGGCGCGCGTAATTCTCGCGCTCTGATTGGTCCACGTTTTTCCTTAATAATTCAAAAATGAGACTTCGAACACCATTTTTGCGAAGGGAAATCTTATTCAGAATCGCATCAGGTATCTCTCTTTTCAAGGGCTACACTGGTTGTGAGACATTTTGTATATCGAACGTTCCATTCTCGAAATGATTCACTCTCATGCATCTTTATTTGCAAATCGTTTAATCGACTGTCCTACACTGTCTTACACTTTTACATTATCTTAAAATTATTTTATGGGTAACGTGAAACGCTTGATGTCGTTAGTTTATCAAAGGTATTCTCTTTTGTTAAAATATGACGATATTAGTATTGATATTAGTGATATTAGTGACGATGTTAGTACGCTGGTTAACTTTGCAGCAATTAAAGTGTCCATGGTAGAAAATGTAACAAGAGCTGAGCTGAAAAATTACTAATATGGAACACGTAGGAAAGGGACATCCTGAGGACCATTCCTCAGCAGTTCTAAACTTCTTTGATTTTTGTATTTCTCTCTGAAATTTTAATAGTGAACACCGTTTTGAAAAGCGTGCAATATAGAACATGTGATTTTAAAAATTTATCAAGAATAAAAATTCTTTTTTCAACAGAACTTAATGACAAAATTAATAGGTTTACGTTAATGGTTTCAAGTGTCTTGAAATTATTCTAAAAAATGTAACAAAAGTGAAAAGTGCTGAAAATCTAATATTGAACGCAGGAAAGTTCCTATTGAACACGTAGGAAAGTAAAGAAAACAAAGAAAATTTCATTTTAGAGAGTGAATATTTATTCGAATAACGGACAGGTGAAATTTTTGCATTTTTTAAAAATTTGTCTTATATGATCTCATTTTTCTTCGTCCCCTGCGTGAACACGTTGCTTGCGTGTGAATGCATTGGACCTATTTTTCTCCATTATTATCATTATAGTGTGCTCAGAATGATAAAGGTATGATTTGTAGTACTATGTAATGTTAACAAGTAACATGTACCTAATTTGGAACATGTCCCATTTTACGTACTCAACGTGTTCCACATTACGAACTCACGTATTACGACGGAAAATAATAATCCTGAGAAAATAAATTTAATGGTAAATTACTTTTGAAAATTCGAAAACTTTGATGATAAATCGTACGCAATATTTTATAACTCACTTTTGTTGAAAAATGTAACTATTTAACTTGCATTTTGGAAAATTTTATGGACTGTGAAATATAAGAATACTTCACATTATACTTTTAAGTGAAACTTAAATTTTAATATGAGTGTCTCTTGTTTGTGATAAAATATTTCATAGAGTCACTGATTCGAATAGAATAGCTATAATATAAAATACTGTAATTGCTGTAAATATTGTAAATTTACAGTAAGTAAATAAACAAAGACATCTACAGTATTTTACAATATTTTATATTACAGTTATTCTGTTTAGATTGTCTTATTCAGATTGTCAGTATATTCTATAAGTCAGTGCTTTTTTTATTTAACACAAATTTGTTCAACATATTTGTTCTTATCTAAAAGCAAATTAACTTTTCACAGGAAAACTGATACTATAAACTCGGTACAATTTTCATACATAAGCAATTATATGACTTCTTTGAATTTTGTACCCCTGGTATGTGTTAATTTACTCAGGCGAGAACGTGTTCAACAGCCCTTATTTAGATGCAAATAAAATCTGTAAAAATCTTTTACGATAAAAATTAAGTTTACTCTGTATGTTCAAAACAAAATAGTTTTTATTTATTTTAAATGAGATCTTTTAAGATAATGTAAATAATGTAGGAGATAATATATTTTGTTCATTATCGAGAATTATATAAAAAACAAAAGGTAAAATTGCATACGGTGAGATTACATTTCATAAAATTATAGTAATAATTCAAAAACGAAGCTTCAAATCACATTTTTGCAAAGGAAAATTTTGTTCAGAATTATATTCTCTACCACCCCTTTCAGGGAGTAACAGTAATTATGAGACACTCTGTATATGAACATTTATTTTTATCAATTTTTTAAATAATTTATTTCCTTCCCATGTGCTACACAGCTATGCGTTTTTTATATAATATATTTCTTTTTCAATAGAACAAGAAGGAAGTAAACAAAATTGTTTATTATTTAAAAAAGAAAAATGGCTAGAAACTATTAATCTTTATAAGGGAATATTAGAGTTTTCAATTAAAAATGTATTATTTTGGTTTACAGATATGAATATAACTGCTGCTTTAACTTTCACGATGGCCATCGTTTGGTTTTTCTATGGAAAATGCGAAGCAGCTCCTGAAATAGTTAATAACATGCATCGGAGGCTCCGTAATCGACCCTTATTACGAGGGTAATTATAAAACTTCACGATTAATTATCTGTATTAATTATAACAGTTCATTCTTCGCTGTGCTTCATTTTACATTTATTTTAATTGTTAATTAGTATTTGGAGGATTAGCTGAATAATGATATGTAAAATATAATTTTTTCTAAATAATTGATTTGATATTTAGGTCATAATAAGGGTAAATAATTCTAAATTTCTACATTTCTAATCTTGTAAATTCACAAATTGGGAAACTAGGAAATGTGAAAATTTGAAAATTTCTGAGTCTCTTTTTGTAGTTTGAAAGTTTCTAGATTTGAACATTTTAAAGTTTTTAAATTTGTAATATGGTAATATGGTAATATGGTAATTTGGTAATTTGATAATTTGATAATTTGATAATTAGGTAATTTGAAAATTTGGAATTATGGAAATTAAAAATCTACAAATTTCTGAACTGAACAAATTTTAAACTTGTAAATTGTAACATTTCTATGGTTCCATATTTGAAAGTTTATAAGTGTGTACAATTCTAAACTTAAAGAATGTAAATCTAAAAGCTAACTAATTTCTAAGTTTCTAAATTTTTGAAGTTTCAAATGTCTCAATCTTTTGAATAATTATTGCTGCTCTCTAAAAATTCATTATTAATAATACTATATTTTTTACAAAGGTTCGCAGTGGAAAATCTGTTTGGAGACGGCGACGATTTTCTAGACATAAATAAACGACAACAATTCGACGATTACGGTCATATGAGATTTGGGAAACGAGAACAATTCGATGATTATGGTCATATGCGATTCGGTCGAAGTCACGAATAAATAATGTGCAGTGATAATTCACTTTTGCTGCAGAAGTAATACTTTGTTCAAACTGTAGATGAAATATATTTTACATTGCAACAATTTCGTTGTTTCATCCCTAACCTATGTTCCTCCACGACAAATGTATCATAATTTATCGTACACGAACAATGAATACTATAATAAAAAAACGTGTCAAAACTTCATTGTTATAAATAATATTTTTTTGAAATTATTTGTAAATTTCAACCCTTAAATTTAAACCTTGAAATAAATTTCAATCCTTAAATTCAAATCTTGAATTAAATTTTAACACTTCAATTTAAGCTTTGAAATAAATTTCAATTCGCAAATTTGAATCTTGAAATAAATTTCAATCCTCAAGTTTAAACTTTGAAATAAATTTCAACCCTCACGTTTAAACCTTGAAATAAATTTCACCCCTCAAGTTTAAACTTTGAAGTAAATTTGAACCCTTAAGTTTAAACTTTGAAATAAATTTCAACCCTAAAATTTAAACCTTAAAATAAATTTCCACTCACAAGTTTAAACCTGTAAATAAACTAAAACCCTTAATGTTTCAATATCAACCCATAATTTGTTATTGACACATTATTTCACCACATAAAATTATAATTAAATTTACAATTTTTAAATACAATTTCAATTCCGAAGAATTTCATGCAATTTGTATCTCCTCGATTTAAGTTCAGCTATTTGATGATGAAGATCCATGTTGTCGTCCAAAAATTTATTTACACCATCTCGTTTTTCCAGTTCTTCGAGACTGTATCCGATAGTTCGTCGATTTAAAAGCCATGGTACTGGTGGTGGTGATGGCGGTAATGGTCTAGGTTTCATGGGGTAGGGTGATCTATAATGGACTTCTGTGGTTGTTCGATAATCCATACGAGTAGCTTCTTCGGAATCATATAGTAAATCTATCAGTGTTGGTTGCTTTTCTTCTTCCACTCTACAAATATTATTTTTATTATCAGTACAAATAAGAAATATTAGGTTAAACATAGACAAAATAAAATGTTGATAATAAACAGAACAAAATACTAGTAATAAGCTAAATAAAATATTAGTAATTAATAAAATAAATGTTAATAATAGTAATATATTAAAAATTAATAAAAATAAAATTAATGGTAAGTTGAACAAAATATGTCAAGCAAAATATAATATTAAAAATGAGCAAAATAAAATGTTAATAATAGACAAAAATAAAATACTAATAATAAATAATATAAAGTGTTAATAATAAGCAAAATAAATTGTTAATAACAAACAGAATAATATATTAATAATCAGCAAAGTAAAGTATTATTAATAAGAGAAACAAAATATTGATGTCAAACAAAATATAATATTAGTAATAAGCAAAATAAAATGTTAATAATAGACAAAAATAAAATACTAATAATGAATAAAATAAAGTGTTAATAATAAGCAAAATAGGATAATAATTAGCAAAATAAAATATTAATAATGAGCGAAATAAAGTATTAATAACAAGGAAAATATAGTATTAATAAGAAGCAAAATAATATGTTCATAATAAACAAAAATAAAATATTAATAATAAATAGAATAAAGTTAATAATGTTACCCTGTGGCTGCAAGAGTCCTCATTTTGCGTAATGTACGCTGTGGAACAATTGGTTTATAAAGATCCTTCAGTTCTATTTGAGCCAACATGGCGGTCGTTTCTGAAACTCCTGTGCAAGCGTCTTCCGGACCTATCCTTTTGTACGATGATACGTGAAGGTTTCCTTTAGGCGGAAAAAATTCTTTGTTATCCTTGGGTTCTTCTAATGTATTCATGTGCCTAAACAATAAACAAATTTCGCAACTTTAATATAACAAATAAAATTGCTAAAGCGTGGTATATTTGTCGGTCAGTAGTCACTATATAAAGAGTTTTAGAAATGAGAATACAAATGCGTTGCTACGCGAAACAAAGGGGTTCACCCCTTGCGAAACGCAATGCTTTCAAATAAATGTACGTGTACCTTACGGAAATGTAACAGCATATAAATTTTTATGTGCTGTTTTATATAGACTGCATATTTACCATCCATCAATTTTAACTTTATTATTGTATGTAGCAGGGACGTGAAAAATAATCGGTTCCAGGTCTCTTTTTTCATCTTCACAAGCAGGAAAAATTGTCTGTAATACAATGAATTACGTATATTATGTTTTCGTTATTAGTTAAGTAACATTTGTATTTTAACATTCTAATATCACAGTTTCTATATTAATTTTTAATATATTAATTTCAATTTGTTAGAACGCAAATTAATTAAAGATATTAAGTATCATTTATACACCTAATTATATGTATACGAGATCATACATATGATCAATTAATAACTAGATATTGAATACATTTAAATATTCTAATAACACAATTTCAATGTCAGTTTTTAAAGTATCAAATTTTACTAGAATAAAATTCATCTTTAATTTGGTTTAATAAAAAAAAGCAAATACTTGCGTATAAATAAATAATATTTTATAATAACTTATACAATATGATATAATAATTATTATAAATATAATAACATATTTATAATAACAGGAATATAATATTATAAAAGTAAATATACTTACACTTATTTTCCCTTTTGTCACCATGTTGCTTTTTTATAATTTAAACAGAAAAATATTCGATAACCTCGTTAAAGTGAAGTCATAAGAAACTACAAATACCTCTGAAAATAGCACATGCCATTTAAAAAATATTTTCACGTTCCTGCTTTTGTTATTCGTAGGATATGTTCAAGTCGCCTAGAAAATAAAATTTGAAATAATTTCCATTTGTAATACTTGATCGAAAACTATTAAAGTGTTGTTTTAATTTTATTTAAATATTATATTGTTGATCTTAATTAACTATTATATACAATTATAATATGTATTACTGATTGTAATTAATCGAAAATAAATATGAATGCAGCGTTGAGAGAAATAATTTTGAGAAAATGTAGGAAGACATTTAAACCTGTTCAGTCGTACGATGAAGAGGAAGAATGGGAAGAAGGCGAAGGATTAATTGATTTTGATAAAGAAGAATCGATAGAGGAATTACCTCTAGAAGATATTTTAGCGGAGAAACGTCGTAAATATACTGTCAGAGACGAATTTATTTCTTTGCTTTACAATGACTTGCTACAGTTTTTCATAAAAGAGTAATTATACAAGTTAAAAATTTCTACTTTCATAAATTGTTTAAAGAAAATAATTTAATGAAAAGTTTTTGAAAAATTCAATGAGGAAGGTAATATGTATACGTACAATAAAATTAATGGAAAAGTAGTATTTATATATGCAATAAAATTAATGAAAAAATAGTACTTATGCATGCAATAAAATTGATGAAAAAATAGTATGTATACATGCAACTTAATAAAAACATAATATTGTATCATGTTCTTCAACATTAGAATACCTAAAGGATTAACAATTCGTTCGAATTAAAACTGCATTATTCTGATTAAATTAAATTTTAATAAATTATGAAGATTTACATTGAAATTTATCGAACATTTATTTAGTGATATGTTTAACACAGATGGGATGGAAAAATTTTGAGAAAGAAACCTAAGAAGAGGGTTGATCAATCTCCGAATACATCGTCTGAAGGGGAGGAGGATTTTGAAGAGTATTTAACTGAATCAAACAATAATGACACTGATTTTGTAGAGCAAGATGAAGAGACGTCTAAATCGAGTTCTAGCATGTTTTGGAAAGTTACAGTCCCGGATGAATTTGCAAATATTAGGTTCATTAGTAATAGCACCTATAGTGGTCGCATTAGTAGGAGAATGATGGAAGGAAAAGGGGTTTATAGATGGCCCAATGGTGCCCAATACAAAGTAATAATAAAAAATAATTAACATTGCATTAGTATTGTTATATGATGTTAAAAGTACTTAGAATTAATCAATTTTTCATATCAATAATTTCAATGTAATACAACATCGTAATAGTCTTATATGATGTTAACAGAATTTAGAATTTAGAATCAAATTTTAATATCAATCATTTCAGTGTAATACGACATAGTGATTAATACAGTAATATCTACGTAACATGTAGTATAACATTGATATTTCATGAATTAATGATAGTTCTGCAAAATAATATTAACAAAAGATACGCTTGCTTCTCTATCTTATATATTTACAAAATAATTTAAATATATATGTTTTACAATAATATATTTTAGTTGTTAAAAATATTTAAAGTTATACAGTCTTCTAGGGAGATTTCGAGCAAAATCGTATGCATGGAAAAGGTTTGCTAGAATGGAACAGTGATTGCTGGTACGAAGGTGAATTTGCAAATGGTTATCGACATGGCAGAGGAATTATGGTGGATGGAGAAAATCGTTACATGTACACAGGGAAATGGAACATGGGTTTGAGACACGGTAAAGGGTAAATATTTACCACACAAATAACGTATGATTGAATAATGATGTTGATCATTGACGATTTCGTTAGAAGGTATTCAAGTTTAGCACTGGGTTTGCGGGACGCGTCATTTTAACGCATTTCGAATTTTTTTAGAAAAATTACAAAAACCTTCTCTTATCCATTCAATGGAGTAAATATATATTGAAGTCTATTTTCTTCAAAAGCTTTGAAATATTGACATTTGTTATGTGGTATACCTAACACGTCACTCAATAAGTCTCCGGTCTAACTAAGAAAAACAAATTGTTTTTTAGAAATTCCACTTTAATCATCAATATACATTCCTTCCAGTATGATACATTGATTCCAACACTCCTCTAACTTTTCAATTCCCTTTATATTAAACGATTTGTCTTTGCCCCCAAAATAAGCTCAAGTTTCCGCAATCACTTCTTCATTTGAGCCAAATTTCTTTCCCTGGAGCATTTTTTTCATATTTGCAAAGAGCCAGTAGTCGCTGGGGTCCAAATCTGGGGAGTACGGTGTGTGGGGAAACAATTCAAAACGTAATTCATTCAATTGAACCATCGTGTTCATCGACTTGTGACACAGCGCATTGCCTTCGTGAAACAGCAAACGCGGCACCCACTTTGAAAGCAATTTGCACATGCCCAAATTTTCATGCAAAATTGTGAAGACACTACCTTCTGATATCTTCAAGGCATCAACTATCTCACACAACTTAAGTTTACGGCCCTTTAAAACTATTTTGTGGACATTTTTTATGTTTTCCGGAACGACTGTTGATTTTGGACAACCAGCGCGTTCAGCATCATCGGCGCTTGTATGACCACGTTTAAATTGAGCATACCAGTCAATGATAGTTGATTTCCCTGGTGCAGAGTCCCTATAATGCTTATGAAGTCACTTTTTGGCTTCAACAGTATTTTTTCCGATTAAAAAACAGTGATTAATCAACACACAAAATTCCTTTCTATCCATTGTCTTCAAAATTACGAAACTGGGGGTACTAAAATGACTGTAACTTCTAAACTATTGGTCAGAATACCCTGAAATTTTGACACGTACTGTTTGAAGGTTAGTATTATTCGAAAATAACGTGGGTCTGTCACCAGTGTCGCCATATATGTGTCAGACCGGGGACTTATTGAGTGACGTGTTATCTCTACGGATGTGCACCAATTTGACGCGATTGTAATATAAATAAAATTTTTAGTGAATTAATTTTACCCATGCAAAAATTACAACAATAATAAATATGAATGCACCGACAATACCTTATAAACTCAAATTGACACGTGTTCGTGGAAATAGGTATATAAGAAATGTCCACAAACCTAGTGCTAAAACTTCTAAAAATTCACTCCCGGTGTGAACCACATTTTTAATTATAATATATAAAAAATTAACTAGTAATTGATCTCTGACAAAATGTAATCAATGATACACGTTTAACGATATAATAGAATAATCATAAAAAAAGGTAGAAGCACTGTTTGTTATAATTATTAAAAATTACTAATCGAAGAATCTGTTCATTTAGGTACTGTCGCTACGGTGATAATGGTTCATACGATGGTGATTGGGTAATGGACAAAATGGACGGTGTTGGATTACGAACTTATGCAAAAGGTAGTTGCTACCATGGTCAATGGAGAAATGGACTCCGTCATGGTAGAGGCACCATGGTTTGGACATATGGAAACGTTTATCGTGGAGAATGGAAATGTGGTTCGATGCACGGGTTTGCTATTTTAAATTTATTCGATTTTACATTGAATAATAAAATACATTTAATAATAATTGCATAAATTAGTAATATACATGTAACAAAATTACAGCGAAAACATTGCTGAAATTTTTGCACGGTTTAGAAGTAAGCGAATCGTCTTCCGCTCGATCCTCCGTGTGCGACTATCGAGAGCAGCGTTCGCGAAACGGATGTTAAAGTCGAGTTCCGTTATATATCTTTTCCCTCTTTTCGCGATCACGATCGTCGTGACAAGTTTTACCTCGAGCTAGCTCGGCTCCGAAAGATAAAAAGGCGTGTTTGGTTGTTTAAAAAGTCTCCAGCACGAGATCCCGGGGCGAATCGATGGACAATGGGGAGCGATAGCGATTGAATCGTATTAAAAGTAATCGCGAGGATAATACCGGTAAGTGGGCTGAAACAACAATGGCGATCAAATGAACAGGCTCGATTGGAGAAGAAAGATGAAGGAACGGACGAAGGAGATCGAGAGTATGGACGCAGAGGAATAAGAGGAGGCGTAATTTCGTGGTAGAACAAAAGAAAATAAAGACGTGACATGAAAATTTATCGTCGAGTTAAGAGGGAACCAGAGGATCTTTAGAGGCGCGGTTTTGAATTTACGGCGAATGAATCGCGTCGGATGCGTGTATAGAGGTTCCCACAACTCGTGAGAATCATTTATTTCGCGTACCACGTTGTCGACAACCTAGTACTTAACTCCTTTCCCTTGACAACGAGTCGCAGATTGTGCTCGAAACGGGATAAAATATACTGTACTCGTAGAGCGGTCTAATCTTCCTTTAAATTATAATGACAAATCGTGCTCGTGTCGGAGCATTGTAGTCCAAACAAGAGAAAATGAATTATAATCCTGGGACTATGACGTTTTTCATCCCTCGTTATCAAACGGTTAACAAGGAACGAGAATGCGCGACGAAGCATTCCTTAACCGTTTGCGTACCAGAGGGTTTTGAAAAAACACGATCGAAAAACGCCAAGGAGCGCGATCGCGCTCCTTCGATTATGTGTCGAAAAAAACCGAAGAGCGCGATAGCGCTCCTTTGGTTACGTGTCGAAAAAAGCCGAAGAACGCGATATGTATATATATTTATATACTATTAATTTAGAATAGGTAACAACAAAATACAAATTGGATTACTGACAGCGATGCGACGCGCGACGTATATATGCGCCTGAAAAACTGAGCGCGTTTCTACAAATATCGGGTGGGCCGTCAATTGTTTGTTTCCGCAAATGCCCTGGCTTTTCTCGACACAAAATCTGAAGAGCGCGAAAGTGGCTCGTGGTACGCAAACGGTTAAGTAATAAAATAAGTTTAATAAAAATGATATCACATAATAAAGTACACTTAATAAAAGTTGCATTGTTAATTCATAAATGAGTTAAGTAAAATATTTATAGTTATGGGGAATATGTATGGAACGGCTTTTTCAATAAAACTTTAACTTGGCCACGAGAAGCTTCGTACGTTGGTCATTGGCGTAATGGAATGCGCCATGGCGAAGGTGAATTATTATTCTATGTACTAATTTTTTAATAATAAATAGTAAGTAAATTGTTAATAAATCAAATATATATTTAAAGGAGAATTGAAGTTAAATGCAGTTGGAGGAGCCAAATATTCAGGGTTTTGGATGGATAATAAGAAGCATGGTTATGGAATTATTATTGGTACAGTGATATTTTATTATTAATTATTATTTATAACCAGCTATACATAGTTAACTATGAGCAAAAGGAAATCGAAATGCAGAACATACGATTTTGAATACGATATGATTTTAAGTTTCGATAAAATTATTTTAAAATATTACAATTTTGTAATAGAAAAATATATTTATATATTTTCGAAGTTATTTATACTAAAATTAATTAAACATTGACATTGTTGTTGACATTGATATTGTATAAATAAATCTGAAATATTATTTAATTTAACAATAATTATTTATTATTTAATTTATGAATATTACTGTTTGAAAATTAAAACATTATTTAATTTAGTGATTTTAATTAGAATTTTATTACAATGCACAAGTGAAGGTTTTTTATTATTTTACTAATTATTTTAGTAGTTAATTTATCAATTTATTGTAAGTATAAAAATGTTTAAAATGTTATTACATTAACAGTTTTTAAGAATCATATTAATGAAGTTTATTAATATTTGTTTTTATTTAGGAAGCAATGGGGAAAAATTCGAATCTAACCCATTATTTTTGAACGACGTTTTATGCTCAGGTAATATCGAGAATATTAATTTAAACAACGATTCAGAGGACAAAACTGAAGTAAAATGCATACGTGTGATCAAAGAAATAAAACCGGAGTAAGAATATATAATTCCCACGTGTAATGACGTATTTAAAAGAAAAGAAAAACTTTTTTGTATTTCGATTATTATACAATTTTGAAACAGAATTAAAAATACATTATTACAAATGTAAGAATAATAGACAAACATTTTACAAGATATATTAATACTTCTTTTGTAGGTTTGTTGAAAAACCAAACGAGTTAAACCAAGCTCCAGAACTTCCCGTTTTGAAACCAGAACAATATCCATCGTTATTTTATCACATAACTCGTTTGTTAAATCCAGAAAGCCTAGAAGAACGTCCATTACCCGAACCTTTACCTGACAAATGTTACACCTGCGAAAATGAATCTTGTACTTGTTTAGCAGCGAATTCGGAAGGTTAGCCAACCATCTTTCTTAAAGAATTATTAATATTTATTTATAATGTATTCTGTAATTATAATTATTAGTAATATTGCTCCGTAACTGTAATTATTGTTAATATAATTCTACAATCATAATTGTTAATTATTTAATTGTACAATTACAATTATGTATAACGTAACTATATAATAGCAGTATAATTATTTGCAACATAACTAAACATAAAACGTTTTTGCAGATACAAAGAAAGAAGACGAAAATGGAAAAGAAGGGACAGATACGTCGAAAACAGAAACAGGCAAATCTGACCCTTCTATAAATAATGAAATGGAATCAAATTACAAATACGAAGAACAGTGGACGTATAATTGTTTAACATTGCATATGACACGTTTACGTGAAATTTATAATCAATACGCTCGACTGTTTACAAAATCAGCTCCAAAGTGCAATCTTGCATTAAGTAGAATTTGTTTATGGCAATTGTGGCGGGATTGTGGTATTCACAAAAAAGGATTGAGTCTTATAGATATTGATAATTACATGGGTAAATTATTAAATTATTACCGTACTATGCTTTGTTATTACTCTATTAAAAATTCGTGTAGTAAAAATTTACAATTAAATGAAATTATTTGTTCATATCAAAAAGTAAATACTATTTGTAATAATTATTTGTAATAAAATATTGTATTACGAGTATTATTTGTAACACAATTACAATTACTGTGTTATAATAGACTGTTTTATTTTTTTATATTTATGAGAAGGAGTTAACAATTTACATTACTAGCAGTTACAATTTATATTAATTTTAGCGAAAAATAAAAGCACTGTCGTGAAAGATCCATATCACCCATTTGAAAAAATTGAAATTTGGCAGTTTATACACGCATTGTTAGAAGTCTCGTGGCAATTGTATACTAAATTCGACGACGTAGAAACAGAAGAAATTAATGGAAAGCTTGCTGGCGGTTTACTTAAGTTATTAAAAAATGATATATATCCGCATGCTGGGAATCACGTTGGTACTTCATTAATACATTATTTTTCATTTTCATTATTAAAATTATTATACATTCTCATTGTTCCACGATCCTTATGACAAAAATAAAAAATGACACTCATAACAAAAATTAATTTGCAAAAGACCACGAATTCTATTTAACAATATTATATTTTACTAACTGTTATTTACATAATTTTGAATTTGCAATCAAATTAGCGTTATTTTCCTTGTTATAGGAAACGTACATCAAAAGTATAAAGATTTGTTGCCTATAGATGCCGTTTTTCAATTGTATAAACAAATTGGATATCCGTTCTCTGCGAAGGATCTTCTACGAACTTTGTGTGCTTTAAATGGTAAATTTAAATTCTGCAAATATTTTTTTAGAAATGTTTAAATATTAGTAATTGCAACTTTGAAATTTTAGGATCTAAAAATTTTAGAATCTTTGAATTTTAAATCTCTAAAATTGTAGAACTTTAGAATCTTTGAATTAAAAAATTTTGAAATTGTAGTATTGCAGAATTGTAGAATTTATACACTGCTACATTACAATGCATAATTATTTTAATGATACAAATTCAACAGATTTGCAAGCTGTAACTACAGAAGCGATTAAAAATTTGCCAAATGGCGCTAATTGTGTGACGATATGTGAGAAGGTCAATTATTTATTAAAACTTGATGACATTTTGATGCAACCACGCTGTACAGTCGAAACCTCAGAGGACAATGAAAGCGATTCTGGTATGTGTTACTCGATAGATTGGGAACATGTAACTTTCAAAAACTTACTAAAAACTTGTTACCTAACTTCTTTCTTTAAACGATGCAACTATAGCGTATGGATTGTTGGTGTTTAAAGAATTGGGAACTTTGAAATTGTTAGAAATTATGGTGTTAATATGTCCTGCGATCAAAGATGTCGAAACTGATGCAATTGTTAACATGGAATACGAGGTATTTACAGTTAAACTAATTCCATACATTTCTGAGTAACTTTTAATATTTAACAAACAAATTAAGCTTATTTATGTAATTAGTTATATTATTATATTATTTGTATGATTGTAATTAAGGTGATCTAGTAAGTCCACACACTGCGAGGTAATAAATATTTATTTGACTAAATAAATTGGGCGACAAATATTCAAAGAGATTTCGAAAATTCTATATTTCATAACTCAATTGTTTGTCACTCGGACAGATACAGAACACTTTACAGACACGTTGCATGACATTATGTGTAATTTACAGTATGAAAATTATTATTAACATTGCAGTTTACATTTCTCGAGTTCTACGAAATAATCATGGAGACCACGAAACAATTGCTTTCCATGAGAAAAAATTTGCAAAAGAAGGAAATCGAGGAAGAAGACACATTATCGCAAAATAATGATTCGCAAAAGAAGGAATCTTTCGCGAAAAACCGGCGCTCTTTACTTAGGAAGAGTTCCAGAGTTAAAAACAAAACATAATCTTTCGTCGTTTAACTTAAAAATAAATTATATTTTTATATCTATGGCACAGATTTGAAAATGTGCAATTTAGAATAACTTTTCGTCGATTAAAATCGCATTGGCATATATGTTTCAACAAGAAATAACAAACAAAATAAATTAAAAATAATTGAAACAATTTGCCAGAAGAAAAATAAAACAAAAAATGATTTCTATTTATTTTTTAATGTAGGATCTCCGCCTTTTAGGTTATGCCACCTACTTTGAAACACCCTATATAACGATACAACAGAACAGAATCAAAATGTTAATAATTAAAAAATTAGAGGACGACAGAATGCAACTGGGTCATTTTGTGCCACATCTAAAATACAATGTGTACGCGTTACTTCTGGTTCATCACGTTGTCGTCTTTCCCGCCATTTTCCTTACACCTTCTAATTTATAAGATTAATATAAGTTCCATCGAAATATCATAATGATAAAGTATTTTACAAAATAGGTTAGCATTTTTACATAGTTCTTAACGTTTAATAAAACTGTTAAAATTTAATGATTGTTAAAAAACCGTTTAATCATTCAACGGAGGTCTTAACTTAATTCTGTCGTGTATTCTCTTTGTTTTTATCTAATTAATATTCTCGTTCTGTAAGAACACTTCTTAAAGTACAGTAGACTCTTGCTACGGACGGGGTTCGGAATTCTAAAAATTGCAATATAGAAAGAGCTTCTATACAAAATTCAACTATCAGAATTCTGCACAGAGTTAACTATCTATCGCTTTGAATATAATTCAAAATTCTTTCTCAATTTTAAAGTCTCAGGTTTTTATATTTTCATATTTTTTAATTTCCAAATTTCTAAATTTGAGAATTTGAGAGTTGGAAATTTGACATTTTAATGTCTCTAATTTTTACAATCCTCAAATCAACAAATTTGTAAATTTGATATTTTTGAATTGGAAACTTGAAAATTTCTACTTCCAAGTTTCAAAAATGTTCAAATTACCAAATTTATAAGAAGAGTCTACTGTAGATAAGAAATGAATCGGCAAGATAAAAATTGCATTCAACGCTCTAGGAACAACAACGTTCATGCAACTCTGAAAGATTTACATACAAAAGTATAAAATCCCATTGAAGTTCGCCAAATTGTAGCGTATGTAGAGTATATATACAAAATACGCACATTCGCGAATTCATGGGCAAGAATAATGTAATCATATATTTATCCCAAAAATTGAAGACTTAGATATTGCATTGGAAATGAACAGAGATTGTGAACGAAGACGCTTGAATGACAGATCTAGAAGCATCGCGTCAGCCAACAATTGTTACAAGTATGTAATTCTAAAATATAAACTATATACCGACGCATGTAATTACAGTACAAAACAGTGATACACTGGGATGCAACGTAGATTTCCTTCGGATAAGGGAAGAGATAAAGGGAGGAACCTAACCAGAGAACTTTCTCATCCTCGGTGAAGTTCCTCCCCGTACATTTCCCTTAATCGAGGGAAATCTAAATTGCACATGACTGTACACGTTACAGAGCCGACGCAAATATTCGCGGGACAAAGAAAAATCTTACTTACAAATTTCTTCAGTTCCCATACCCATTTGACACAGTCAACTCTCGTTATATTACCACCTTTACATACATTTTCACACACAATATCATTTCTTCGCTGTCGTAGTACACGGGGAATTTAGAAACTTTAGTACCAATTTTCATTTACAAACTGAAATTGAGGAATTTAGAAATGAATCACAAAATTCAGTAATTTAGAAATTTTGTAACTTTAAAATTTACAAATTTACAAAAGTTGAACTTCATAAAATCTTCAAGTTCATAAATTTTTAAAGTTTTGTAAGAGTATAACATTTTTGACAATATAGCATATTGCCAACTAAACATTTCCCGCTACTATAACTCTCTGTGGTAATGTAACACGAGTCTACGATGCATAAAACCTCGTAAAGATTACAACGAATTTTTCATGAATCGTAGGGTCGGGTTTTAGGAAATCCGATCCCGCCTCGCGCCGGCCCTGACTGTAGGAATCCCCGATAGTCAATGTTGTAACAGACCAACGTTTAGTTATCAAATAATAATATATTTTCGTTGAAACGTATTGTTGTAATCATAGTACGAGGAAAAGATACCACAAGATGTGAGATAACAAGTGCAAAGAAGATATACAATGAAATATACAGGATGGAAATTGAATTTATTCGTTAAATTATCTTCATCGTTCTGGTATCCCAATTTCATACGCTCTGTATTATTATTTATAAATGCGTGTGTTTTGGACGAACTTAATATACTGTTAACTAAAATGTAAAAAAACAGACGATCGTGAAGAGCATTTTGCACAGACGTATCTACAATGTTCGTTAGAATCACTCGGTAAATAGGACATCTTAATTTAAGTAACTTGAATGCCATCGAGCGATTGTTACATTTTACTTTGTTTAATTGATTATCGAGATACAATGTTGAATGATCTAACTTTTTTATAATGCAGCTAATACACGAACAGTAAGTTTCTTTATAAAAATCGATTGAATAATGATTGATAGTACGTCTATTAAAATGGATGTAGTACGTAATGAGCCCCGGGACGTACAATATCTCTCACGTGAGTAATGTATCGTCCAGTTCTTCTATTTTGCCTTCGGGCTGGGAGAGAACTTTGCGCAATACTTTGCTAACTACGTCTGACAAAGACTCCCTTGCACCCGCATCCAAGAATGCCATACAGCGCTGAAAAATACCATGTTTACAATAATAAATAACAAACAATTTAACATTAAATTACAAACAATAAAAAACATACCTGATGTTCTTCTTCACCTTGTCTCAATCTAAGTACTGCTATGAGAGCAAGTTCGCTATTGGCTTTCACGTAACCATTTTTCTCTTTTGTTCCATTCACCAACATAGGTAAAAGTGACTTAAGTAATTCTGGTGACATCTTTTCAGGTGGTATATTGCGAGCCAAATGAATACAGACCCTGGCTAATAATTGCTTCACGTCGTTACTGTTATTGTTCATCGACTAAAATAAAGGACATAATAATTAACAAATGTATGCCATAAATTTATATTTATATATGCTTACCCGCACAAATGGAGATAATATTTGTTGAGGTATAGGTCGTGCTTCGTTCATGAGATATTGAAACAAATAACCGCAAGCTCGTACACCATTCATGACTATTTGTACTCGATCTGCAGCTAAATACGAAAGTATTACGGTACAGACGCGGTCTTTCTCTTTGTCATTGTATATAGTTGTTGGGGACTCTTTCAATGCAACAAATAACGCCGCTGAACGACCATGTCTGAGCATCCAATCAACGCTGGTATCGTTACCTGAAAATTGTTAACAGATTGATGTAACTCTGAAAAATGATTTTCAAAATTCGGGAAATTCAGATTCATAGACCTATACAACATCAAATAATAAAAAACTTACATAACAAATGATCGTTAAATGCAATTGCAAGTTGATCTGGACTAAGCCACCTCACAAGTGCCCCAAAACAACCAGCAACAGCATTCCTTGTAACATCTTCTGGATGACCAAGCATACTACTTAAAGTAGCAAAAACTTGTTTCTTCATGGGTTCTGTCATTTTGTCGCCAGCAGGCGTAAGGACACCCCTTAGAGCTTGTAGCATTGTTTCTCTGTAAGAAAAATACATTTAAATTTTATTATGAGTTATACAACACATATTCATTCTACTTACCTAATAGCTGGATCGTCGCCAGTTTTGATGCCAGTATGAAGCTCAGTAAACAAGGGATCAACACGTGTATGAATTACAATAAGATTGCTTAAAGCGTAAGCAGCCTTTAATCTCACTTGCCTATTACTATCATTTAATGCTTTCAAAAAGGTGGTTTGTAACTGTGGTAGAAACTGTTTCAACATCACTCCAACCTAATGATTAAAAATAATTCACTTTTAATTTCCGTTTTGCCTAAGATTTCCTTTTGTTTATATTTGTCAATCTATTTTACCTTTCCAAGTAAAATCGCAAGCGTTTCCAATACTGCTGCTTTCACACTCCAATTGAAACGATCTCCAAGAATTCGGATTAATGGTCCAGTGATGTGCACTACACTTGGTTGCAATGCTGTTGCGCTCGTTAATTTTATAACTTCTCCAAGGCCTTGGGCTGCTTGTTCTTTTGCTTCTGGTAGACCATTTAATATAGCCTCTCTGAATATTGGAAGAATCGGTGTAATTCCTTTCGGTAAACAGAATCCAGGTAACAATTCTTGTCCTCTTAGATCAGATACTGCAAACCGTACAGCTTGCCTGATATCCTGAACGTGTGCAATTTGTTGATCGGACGCTAAAGTCTAAAAATATTAATAACAACTGTGTTATCTGAAAACGATATCTGAAATTCAAACAAGTTTATTTAAATGGATGAGAATAAATATCACCTTAGTAACTGCTGTAAGAGCTTCCCAACTCATCTGCAGTACATCCTTATCATCATCCGTAAACAAGTGAATGAGTCCTCGTAACAATTGTGGAACGTATTGACTATAATCAGCGCGTGTATCTCGACAGAAAGCGCAAAGCAGAGTTGCAGCACTTCGTCGTTTGGATGGATCATCTGCTCTCGTAGCCTCCATAAGCTGATCCATTACTGTTCTAACGCCAACTTCGTCAGTAACAGATAAAATAACTGCCTGACAGTATTCTAACTCTTGAACTTCATTTGGGGTCCCTTGCGCACTAGACAAAGCAGTCAACAAGGCTGGTAAGATTTTATGAAGGAATCTCGTTAACGCTTCGCCAGCCACACTTGCCAAGATTGATAACGCCTTTGTATTAACCGGTGGAGTTGTCAACTGAGGCACTAGGTATGGCAAAACAACTCTAGATTTAATTGCCATTACTTGACGTAGACCATCTAAAGTATTTTCTGCTTCTGCCTGATCCGGGGAATTTAATTGCGTTAACATTGCTGGTAATATATCGTCCAATGCTCTGACTCCCACAGTTGAATGTAAACCGTCAAATGTTTTTGCTGCTGCTTGGCGAACTTCTGGTAACGGATCACATAATGCTTTCCTAGAATTTGATTCATTGTTTTTATTATTCTGATAATAGTTTTTATAATGTTATGTAATAAAAGGAAAAGACGTACCTCACTGTTGGAACTAAACTGATCACAAAGGTTAACACCATATCTTTGTTCGTGCTTGCCATAATTTCTGATAATCCGATACATACACCTTGACGTTGATCAGCTTGATCGCTTTGTAAACCTTTCTCTAAGATTGGTATAATTTCTGGCAATACTCTTTCGCCTAATTTTCTAACAAGATCTCCTAAAGTTCGAGCCGCAACTTGTCTTTTATCATAACTTGTACTAGCCAAACAACCAAGTAGTAGAGTGAATAATGTTGGTAATATTTCTCTCAGTGTTCTTGGTGTGTTCGTTACAACAACTTTCCATACATGAAGAGCTGCTTGACGTACCATCAGAGCAACGTCAGATCTACCCATGTACAATCCAGCCAAAACTCGATTTCGTCTTTCAGCACCAAGTGCATTAATAATGGCATAGTGTGATTGTTCAGTTCCGAAGTTATCATCCTCGCTTGCCGTTTCTGTTGACATCTTGCCAGAAACACCAGAAATTCGATATAATAAATCTCCAAGTAATTGTACAGAGGAATACCTGATACGCCAATTATCATCAAATAGACCTTTCTCCAATTCTGGTAGTAGTAACATAATTGCGGAGTCAGCATAGAGAGTAACAATACGTTGACCTGCTCTAAGAGCTGTTTCGCGAACATATTCGTTCTCATCAGCTAAAGCTTTTAAAATAGGATTGATGATCTGTCCAATATATGGCGTAAATTCTGTAGTAAATGCACTTGGCATGTAAATAAACATCATGATGTAACCATCTTTAACGTGAGGAGCTATATCAGTTCTTTCAGCTGTGCTAATAATCTCTGGCATAAGTTTGTGAAGTTTTTCAACACCAAGTCCTCTTACAACTTCTGAAAGACCCTGGGCAGCACCTGAGCGATCAACGCTGCTGGTTTCAGAAGTAAGCGTTTGCATCAGCCAAGGAAGTAGATCTTCAAAACTGGATTCACCCATTCCTCTTACCATGGCACCCAGTGCTCTAGCAGACACACTACGTACTTCTGGTACAGGATCTAATAAACTTGTTTTTAAACCAGGAATAATAGTTGGCAAGTACGGAGTTAAATCTTTCTGATCAGTCAAGGAATACATGTTTCCAATAATCTGAGCAGCCATTTTTCTGGTTTCTGTTGAGCGATCCAAAAATGCTCGTTGTACTACAGGCATGATAAGAGCCAATGATGGAGCATCGATGAAATGTACGAATTGTGTATCCAAAAGGGTTTGAAGACAAGTAGCTGTTTTATGTGAAGGATCTTGTAAAGCTTTCAATAAAACTGGCACAATAGCTTGGATTTCTGGATTACGAATTACGCTTCCAATAACCTTAAGAGCTTCTGCACCAGCTTCTTGAACTTTAGTATGGGAATCGCTAAGTACTTCAATGAGTTTGGGAACTATACTGGGTAAGCAACTGCTGAGTTGTTTTGGTGCACAATATGCCATCGCACCCAATAATTCAACAGAGCCTTAAAAAGTAAAATATTCAACTTTTAGAGTAAATCCCATACCTCTGATGGTGTCAATTTTACAAGTTACTTACCAGTCTTAGTTCTCCATGAATCTTCTTCTAATGCTGCTAATAAACTAGGTAGAACAAGTTTCACTCCATGAGCGGAAAGTTTGCTCATAACTACCCGAGCAGTGTCGTCTGTAGCTGCTCTAACATACTGACTCGAATCACCAAAACACAGCAGCAAATGCGGTAACACGTGAACAATGTATGGTTCAAACAATCTGCCAAGCATTGTACATAACATTTCAAATGCAAACAATGCTCCTTCTCGATGCCTATAGTTTTTCTTATCCTGAATAGCATTAGTTAATGTGGTCATAATATCAAGCTGTTTTAGCGCCAATATCCCCATACCCTTGATTATACCTGCCAAACCATAAGCTGCGCCTTTTCGCTCCCCGTATTTGTCTGATTTTAACAACTGATCCATTAAATTGTTCACAATTTTTGGAGCATCTTCTTTAATAGAAGGTACAAGATGTGGTAGACAATTAGCAACAGCTTCTTGCACTTGCTGCGACGGTGTAGAGAGAGCAGCAATCAAACGCATGACTATTGGTTTGATACGCGGATCATCTTTGTCTAAATGCCTAGCTAAAGATCCCATAAGAATAACTACCGACTGTTTAATCGAATCAAAGCTACCAATTTTTGGGGCCTTATCCATGAATTCCTCAAAAACAGGTAATAAGGAAGTTATATTTGTCTTTCCATGAAGATCAACAACAGCTACAGCAGCAGTTAACATTTCTGTACGAACAGCTTGATTCCTATCTCCTAAACCGGTTGAAACAAAGAACTGTACGAGTTTAAGTACTGTGTCAGCAGTAAGGAGAGGTGCTATCTGAGCCAATGCAAGTGCTACACCTCGTCGAGGACCCCAAGTATCAATAGGTTGTTCGACCACACGACCAAAATTGTTTAATTTTGGTGGAATCATTGCTAACTTCTCTTGATACAGCTGCAGCAAATTGTCTAAAATCGTCGGTACCAAATGAGGAACTTCGCTTAAACACTGTGCCAAAGCACAAGCAGCAGCTTGTTGTATAGGTTCTACAGGATGTGAAATGTCCTGAATAAGTTCGGTAGCCAGGATATCTGGTTCCATTGCTAAATCTGCTGCATGCCACAATTCATTGGCTAAAATTTTATTTTCATCGCAAATATCAAACCTAGCAATCCATATTCTTCTAATAAGGCGAGAAAATTGTTCAGAATGTTCTTTCTTAGATGGAAAAGCTTGTCTCACAACTGTTAAAGCTCTCAAAGCTGCGTCTCTTATTGTGGACAAAGAATTTTGTAAAGCTCCAGTTAAAGAATTAATATCCTCGTTAGTAGCTAGCGCGGTACCTGGTTGACCACTACCAGATTGAGCGACATCCAATAAAGTTGCAACTGCATGTGTCTGTACTCTTCCCGTGGTGATTTCCATTAATTCTATTAATAGATCAAACATATGTTTACGTGGAAGTAATTGTGGATGCCTTGTATCTCTAAAATCCGAATTTCCTCTTTGTTTAGCATGCTCTTGGATTATCTGAAGTCCTTGCACAATCATATTGTCATCTTTATAACATAACAGTGTCTTTCTTATAAATGGAAAAATGTAACAAAAAGCAGGAGCAGTGAATAATTTTTTTTGCTTTATTGTTGTTGAATGCAAAAGATTTAAAGTTCTTTTCACTGCAGTATCAAGATTTTCCTCTTCCCATGCTGGATTTAAATCACATTGTGGCTGTAATTGTCTCAATGTTACATGTGCTACTAAATCACTCAAAACTGGATTATTATTAATGTTTACAATTTGTTTCAAGTAGATATAAAGATCAGACATTGCAGGTGCAGCTAACAGTGATCTCAAATTTTTCAAAATTGAAGGAAAAAGGTCTTTTAAATGTAAAGATAGTTCTTGGCCGTTTCCATGTACAGAACATTTAATTAATGATACAGCATTGTCTATCTTATGTTTTAACTCGGTCAATTTTTTACGAATTGCACTTTCCTTTCCCATTTGTGTTTTAAGAATTTCTTCTTGCTTAGGAGTTAGTTTTGGTTCTTTTATCTTTCCTTCCTTTTTGCGTTTCTCATATAATTCTCGTCTCAGCTGAAGCTCTTCTTGTTGTTCTTTAAACGAATAAACTTTACTTTCTCTTTTCATATTCATTGAATTAAGAATATCATTCTCATCATTTGTTGGTAGCACACTTTTGTCATATAATTCTCCTTCAGGAGTAAGATAAGTAAAATATTCATCTTTAGTGACTTTTAAAATTTCAGGATCATCAAGTTTATTTGTAACATTTGATACTATTGCTGGTATTATAATATCTGGTATAATTGATATCACTTTCGTTAGAGCATTTTCATAACTAGCAACAGGTTTGTAATTCTGTACAAGCATTTTCTTTATTTCATTATTCAATGAGCATAAAAAATCTTTTGGTACAAGATTATAATTCTTCGCAATTTTAAACCATAAATTTGGCATCGCTTTGAGGATTGCTGGATGATGAGATGGTATCAGTGCGTCTCTTGTTATTTGTATGGCAGGTGCTTCAAACAAAAAAGAGCCTGAACAAATGGCAAGTAAACCATCAGCAAGACATCTACCAGTTATTTCTCCAGTAGAAGAATCTTCTTTGTTTTCTTTATCATTTTCAGACTTAATTTTTACATTTTCTAAGAATTTATTAAATTCCATTAACAACTCTTGTACAGGTTTGTATGTACTCAAACCAGTTAAAATTTTTTTAATTAATGGGAAACATCGCTTTCTTGTACTATACTTGGGAGCTGTTGCACATATTACAATTGCTCTATGGACACCATTCAAAGCTTTCTCATTCAATCTGTCACCAAATTCTATGATAAGCCTTTCACAAAATAACATAAGATGATATAAAATATCATCTCCACATGTTGACAAAAACTTTTCTGAAAAGAATATCTGCTCATCAATTGCATTCCACAGTACAGCTTGTTTATCGTTCTCCACTTGATTAGCGAGAATAAGTTTCACTAACAAGTAAGAAGCTACTAAACCCTCCGTGACTGCAGCTGATTGTGCACATTGTTGTATAGCTCTTGTTATCGCCTGTACAAGTAGTGGAGTTATGATTCCAGAATAAGAAGCTACAGGAGTAGAAAAGAAAAGTCGAATGTAAGCAGTACGGACAGCGGCAGTTGAAGTTTTAGCAGTCATGCCTTTTTTGAAAGCATCTATTACACTTTTTGGAACATTATTCGTAAATTTGTTGGACCATAAGGCCATCATTTCAAGAGCATAAATCAAAGTTTTCTCATGAACTTCAGTTTCTAAAACTTTAATAAAATGTTCGCAAGCTGTTTCAGCTAATCTCTGAACACTACTTCCTGAGGCAGCATTATAACTAAGGTTACCAGCCCCTTGCAACACAGAAATTTTGTGAGTCGTAACAGTAAGTTTTCCTTCTGACCCATGAAATACAGCAAATACAGATGACAACAAATTTTCCAGAGCAGTAGTATCTGAACATTGTAAAGCAAGTCTACGACAAGCTCCAACAGCTTCCTCTCTAACTATATCTTCTTTAGAATGCAAATTTGCAAATAACCCTTTACTTATATCTTGGCTGTACTGACTCAAATCCAAGCTCAAACCAGACAAAATGTACCCAACAGATTCAATAATAATTTCTGGATTTCTTAACATAGCTTTTTGTAAAGCTGGCAGTAACTGATTTTTAAATTCATCATGAGATATTCGACGTAGAAGAGGTGCGGCATTATGAACAACATATAAATCTGGTTTTTTCTTGCAACTAATAGCCACTTTTATAAAAACATCTATGATATCTACCTGTAGCAAAAAACACAAATATTAATTTGACAATTTATATTATTATGAATTTATACAAAATTCAAATTTACCTTCAGTTTTCCTATTAATTCACTTTTCTTTGCATTCACTAAATACCTGGCGAGTAAACTAGCAAGAACAATTACGCCATTTCCAACTTCCAGCTTTGTCAACGTTTCCAGATATATAATATCTATATCTTTAACAGTTGACCACTGATGCGCTAGTAAAATATATACTTTTTCTGTCAATTTTTTATCCATAGATGCTAAAGCTGCTGCACTTAAATTTGCTTGCACTTCAATGAGCTTTGGTAGCTCTGCATTGATGTCTAAATTATTTTTATAACCATATAGAACAATTAAAGTTGACCATTTCAATGTAAGATATGCGGTTAAAGCAGTGTTCAAACTATAAATGTAAGATAAATGTTAGCAAATAATTAAATACTTTAATTTTGTCAGATGTATTCATATTGAAAAAATCACTTATGTAATTACATACGTAGGAACTACATTCTTATGCCATGTTGCTTGTTCTATGACAACATTTGTCATATGCTTTACAGTAGCTTCCGGTTGTTTCTTCAACAATTCCACAATCACATTTTTCACGTAAGATTGGGAAGCAGTGTCCTTATATCGATGTAAAGTAAGAGATACGGTTTTACAAATTCCATTAACAATCTTCTCATTGATACCTAAAATATGATAAATCCATCTTTAATGATTTTTTACTTTGCTCAACTTTAATTTACTCTTATATGAAAATATTCACAAATCTTTCAGAGTTTTGTATACAATTAATTACACAGATATAGTGGATTAAATAATTAAGAATTATATAAAGAAATTGAATAAGAACTGTACATATTTTAATTGAAAAACACTACTCTTGTACTTGTTATACTTTCATTGAAATTACATCATATAAACTATCACATTCTTCAACAAGTTTGCCTTACAATCATTTGTGAATAATGATACACCTTTTCTTTACTACTGACAACTAATTTCAATGTGAAAGGAAATAAATTCATATCGAAAAATCATTGATAGTCTCTGGGCTTCCTTACCAGGATTTGACAACACATTGACGACATTTTGTAGAATCTCTCGCCGCTCGTTTTTACTTGCGGTTTGAACTCGATTTGGCAGATCTTTCAATGCTTTCGCTAACTGCAACAAATCAATCATAAATAATCAGTAATTATGAAACAATAATACGGTTTATGAAGTTCCACGTGACAGACTCACTTCAACATCCGCCATATTTCTTCAAAAACCGGACTGGCCTCAAGCGCCACCCTTCAGAAACTTAACAAGTTCACTAACTGCTTGCTATCAAAGATTATCTTTTGTAAATTTTATCAAATTAATACGTATTTGATACATATACAGATATCTAGACAATATATTATATAAATAATAAAAAAGTTCTTAAATTCCTAAATTTTTCAATTTAAGAATCTGAAAATTTCTAAATTTAAATATCTAATGATTAGAAACAAATTATAACATCATTATGTATAAAATATTATTTATTAATTATGGAAAGCGTTAAGTATTAAATAACAATTATTTAGGTATAGTCTCATTCATTATAGACTTGTATAATGACAATTAAAAAGCATAAAACATTTGAATAATATGGAATCCATTCATTTGTTATCTTATTTCACATGTTTTTACATACATTGCTAAATTCTAAGTACGTAAACTTAGCAAAGATATAAAGGAAATAGAAAAGAATATAAAATGTTTTGATTAAAATTTGAATTATGAATACGATATATATTTCATTTGATTTTTGATATGAAAACTTTTGTATAGAGATTTTAGCCTTACAAATTTTTTAGATATGCACCCTCATATTGGTAACATTGTTACTGCATTTTAATATTGTTTCTATTTCGGATAAGTTCACTCTAGTGCAAATCTCGTTTTCCTGGGAAAAATGGCAGCTAAGGGAATCAGGTTCCCACCACTAGCATTAATATCCGCTCATTAGCATGACGTATTACACTTAATTTACAGCAGACACTTTCGAAATTGTTAATTAATAAAATTTAATACTGCGATTTAATGCGTAACAAAGATATGAAAGACAATAGTTTATTGTAATGTAATTAATTTATAAAGTTGAAAGCATTTTAGAATTCTTACATTATTACGTGTATTTTAAAATTCAAATTTTCACGCGCAATGACAGGAAATGGAACCTTTGGCGCTATTTAGTGGTCAAATGTGGAACTATCAAAACAAAAACTTTCGTTCTTTTTTTAAATAAAACATTTTTATGTATTGTTGACGATCGCAAATTGTACTACGGACACGAGAAAGAAAAAAAATGCCTTTTCAATTACCTCGAAGCATTATATTCCAAAATTGAAAAAATTGCATTTTATGGACTTTAAAATAGCTAGCCATCTAGCGGCGGAAGATAAAAAATTTATTTAGCGACGGAAGATGAAAATTTACGTTAAACGGATTTAGAATACTTTATGTGATTAATGAATCAGAAAAAATAAGTTAGGTATATAATTGTTTTCAAAATTTAATCATTGACTGAGATATAACAAGATTAATCATGTTGTGTCTTCGAGGGTTCTTCAATCTGCAGCTCGGAAAGGAGCGCCATCTGCTTTATTTTAGTATAAAATTGTGAAACACTTCGTACCGCAGCATATTAACACTCTTTGAACTATTTATAATATTAAGTAAATACTAGAAAAGTTGCTAACCGTGTAGAAGATTATGCCTTACAAACAATTTAATATTTTCTAACGTTCTGTATGAGAAAGAAGGCAAATCACTAAACCGTATTGGAGAAAGATAAACGGGTAAAACAGATAGGGCTGTCGATATTAATGCTTTCTACTATTTACCTGGAGTCCATAGACTCCAAATCCATGTACCCTTGAGAATAAAGGCGACGAGTAGATCCCTACTCTTTCATAAAGCTACACCACGTTGTATCCCTACTCTTTGGCTACACTTAGTCTTGTTATATCTTTATTCAATGGTCTTACGTCAAATGTTGACAGAAAGGTCGAAAGGAGACTATGTAGACAGTTTTTTTGAACTAGGTTATTGTGTGTAGCATATACTGTTTTATCAAAAATATATCAAGTTTATTTGATGTCCTGTAAAAACAACTTTCGATCTCAATTAATTTCCAAGACTTTAAGACCACTGTAAACAATAAGTTTTTACAAAGCGTAACTCTTTGTCTACAACATAATTATGTTTTAAACAAAAAACTCAAAATGACTGCTAAAACTTCGATCGATGGATGGAGTCTTCATAGAATACTTGGAAGTGGAGGTTTTGGTATTGTTGAACTTTGGGCACATGCAAATGGCACAAAACTTGGTATATATTTACTTTATTCGTATAAAAAAATATTGTCATATTAATAGCTTAGTATACAAACATTGTATATTCACTTTTGATATCTTTGAGAAACATAGAAGATTCGGAAGTACTTTATATTTCACTGAATGGATACTTATTATTTATGTATTTACTATTTATACTGAGTATTTATTATTTATGCATATTAAACAGTTATTTAGATGTTGTAGATTTTATATTATCTACAAGATCAGTGTTTAACCAAATAAAATAATAAAGGATTTACAATAAAAAAATTAACAAATTTATATAGCTGAAATGTAAAGTTTATAAAATATAAAGAAACAGTTAAGAACAATTTGTTGCATATGAAATCCTATTTATGGTTAACTGATTAAAATAATAAATATTTCTATGTTTATAAATTGTAGCAATCAAACGATGTAAATGGGATGTTACACAGTTAACAGAAACACAACGAAACAGATGGATTAATGAAGTACATATAATGAAACGTTTAAAACATCAAAATATCATTAAAGGATTAGAATTGCCTTTTAAATATCCAGATGACAAATTAGAATTACCTGTACTATGTATGGAATTTTGCAAGAAAGGTGATCTTAGAAAGGTAATTTTAAAACCAAATTAACCCTTTCGCTTTGACTATCCAGTTCGCCGAAGTACTATAACTGAACAGAAGTGCGTACCCACAAGTCATATTGTACATGCTGCTTATAAGCGGTGTTCAAAGCGAAAGGGTTAATGAGATTAAAATAATATTTCTTTATATGGCATATACTTTTAAAATAACAGGTTCTAAACAAAGCAGAAAATTGTTGTGGAGTTAGTGAAAAAGAAGCAATTAGTGTTATGAAAGATATTTCTTCTGCAGTAGAATATCTACATGCTAACAGTATTACTCATCGTGACTTAAAACCTGAGAATATAGTCTTACAATATACACAAAATACTGTAAGTGCTATTGAATATGTTAAAAGAAATTATTATAATTATATAATATCTTATATATAATTATGTTTTAGATTGAATATAAATTAATAGATTTAGGATATGCAAAAGAACTTGGAGAAGCTAGTATCTCCGCATCTATAGTAGGTACATTAAATTATGTAGCTCCAGAACTTTTATGGAAACAAAAGTATAGTTGTTCTGTAGACTATTGGAGTTTGGGCATTCTCTTTTATGAACTTGTCACTGGTTCAAGGCCATTTCTTCCAAGAATGCAACATACTATGACATGGTATATGGTACTGTTATAAAAAATTATGACAACTTTTAGTGGTTGTATTAATTATATATATTTTATAGGATGCAACATATTAAAAATAAAGGATATGATGTTATCCGTGCCTCTGAATCAGAAGGAACAATAATTTTTGGCACAGATATTGCTTATCCCACAAATTTATCAAGGTGATTATTATATCATGTTGTTGGTGAAATAATTTAGTTATAACCTCTATATTTAAATAATTTTTATATTTTAAATTAACTGTTTTTGAAATATGCATTTTATTAGGTGTCTTAGAGATAAATTAGCAGGTTGGTTTAGAGTAGTATTACAATGGGATCCAAAAAAGAGAGGAAAACAGTGTGATGAAAATGGAGTGGAACAAACTGTTGTATTTCAATTATTGCATAATATTCTCTCTAAAGAAATAATTCATGTGTTCTGTGTATTAACATACCAAATTTACTCATACGAAGTAGTTCCTACTACTAGTATTGCAGATTTACAAGCTATGATTGAAAAAGATACTACCATTCCAGTAAACCAACAAACTCTAACTGATTACTTTGGTAAAATTTTTATTGACAATAAGCAACCACTTTTACCACAAGTTAAGGTAATTGTATTCTTTACTATATTTTTTACTTGGAAGTTCTATATTTATTTAAATTGTTAATTTCATTTCAGGACCCAGTTCTATTTGTTTTTAAACATGGAAGTACTTTAGTAGATAGCATACCTACACCAAATATTCCTCCAAAAATTCAAAAAATGATAGAATTGTCAAGAACACAATTAGATATTGAAACAGTAAAGGATTATTATAAAGTAGCCACCTTTTTTATTAAACAAGAAATATATTTATTTCAACTGTATATTTTTGCTATAACTATTGAAGTGTGAGTATTTCACATATTTTGCACATATTTATAAATTGATTTTAAAAATTAAGTTTAATGTAAGTATGATGATATTAAATTTTCAGAGATTTATTAATGAAAAGACGTAATACATTTAATCAAAATATAACAAATACGACAGAAAATATAAATACTCTATTGCATAAATTATCCGTTATTCGTACTGAACAGAAAAAAAATTTAAATGAAGAACGAATGAAAGCTTTGGAAACTAATTTTGTAAAAGTTACTAAGCTAGTTAAAGCTACTGAACAAATAAAATTAAAATTTGACTTATTTATTGAAGAAAGCAATGAGTTACAAAAAACAGCTCAATCTATCGATTGTATCAAAAATTTGTCTCACTTGTAAGTAAATTGTATCTTTTATATTATTAGGTTGCATCAAATAAAAATCATTATATTTTTATTTGATCTAGATATGATAAAGCTGTGAAAATACTTGAGTCATGTGACAACGAAAATCCTCATAAAAGTGCAAAACCAACAGATATGGTCAAATTAATCTTCAATTTCTTACAAGTATTGGACACACAATTTCATAATAACAATATTCCTGAAATTTTAAAGTATGTACGTCTATAGATATCTGCATATAGTTAATATGCATTCAATTAATGATATTTAATGACTTAGGCAAACAACAAAATTGGAAACAGATCTTCTAATACTGGAAAGAATATTTGATTCAGTTCTTGCTATGACAACTGTATATCATGAAGAAATTCAAAATATAATACAATTTACGTTTGATTACAAGTCTGAAATGCCTAATACGAATATGTGTTCAAGTGAACCAATTGAAGGTATACATATGCAGGCTATGAAAAGTTTATCAAATAACACTACAGCAAATTATGACTTAATAAATGACAGTTTAGTCATACGTTATACGTAAGTGTAATTAAAATTATTCTAAAAAATGTAGTATAACAATAAGTAAATCACATAATAGTACAACAATTTTATTGTTCACTTCAACAGGTTCGATAATCTTTTGCTAGAAATACAGAAGAAATACATGAAAATGATTGGTTCAGAGACATAACAAGTTTTTGTAACTGTAATAAATCATTCTCTGTTATTTTCCACTTAAATTTAAATTCATTCTTAAACTTAATCGTATATTTGTGCAGTATATTTTAAAGTATTTTATATCCGTGGAATATAATGACGTACACCCCATTTAATATTAGCATGTTTATCAGTTTTAAGAAATGAGTATGTAGGACCATTTGCTGTATTTTTTTGTTTCATTTTTCGCCGGATATTATTAGGCGGTGTTAAAAGATCTGTAAAAGATATTAAAACTTAATTATTCTTTGGCGTCGTATGCTGATCTCAAATTGGCTATGAACAGAAAGTTTAATAGAAAATACTGTATGTATGTAAGTCTGTTTATATGTATATGTATGTATATACAGAAAGAAATATTAGTTATGTTTGTACGAAGTTATTTTGATATATATTACTTTAAAAACTATTAACTATTTAAAAAAATGTAATATATATGTACATAATTTGTTATTAAAGATATACTTTTCATAATGAACTTACCTGCTTTGGAAATAATATTAAGTATCATACATAGCATTAAGTATATAAAAATATACTTAAATATCTACAATAAAATTTATCATCACGATATTAATTAGCAAATATCTACATCCGATATAGTTTTTTGAAAATTAACTTGTACTTACGACACAAATGTTCACAATTTTAAACTTCATTGTGATTAATACTAAAGTAGGATATCTACTGTTTTATAACAGAATTGTATCTATAAAGTTTTATACGGTTGAACGGATATGTAATACAGGTGGTTTTATTGTACTTTCACTTATTTGAAAGAATCAATATCTCTGATTCTTATTATCTTATCATTTAATATTGGAAAGGAAGCAACACTTTTATACTTTAAAATGTATTTTATTAAAAAACCGTATGCACATCCTAAACTGAGAATTAAACAACAATGTTAAAATAAATATGATTTTCATTTACTATTACTTTCTCTTCACTGAGAAATCTTACACACCATACTATTTTCCTAGATTGTCCACATACATCAACGATTATGCAATTTCACGTATAAAAGTTCATTGTACATTAACTTGACAAGTAAAAAAAGAGGAAAATGCGAACTTCTGAATATCTATTTGTCCAGTCTTCCACGGAAAATAGATATTACTCATTGTCGCTGATATCTTCATCAGTTGTGAACTCGGAATGTTCATCAGCTGCATCAACATCCTCTGCAGTTTCTTCATCTGAAATATCCCATTGAGGATGTTCTGTGGGTACTTCTGGTGCTTCTTTTACATCCAACTATAAATATTTTCACAATAAAAGTAAGATAAATTTAATTGTATTAACTTTTGTTTGTAATACGACAATAAGTTTCAGCACGTACCTTAATATCTTGAGCTTGATCAAAGCCAAGATAAGAATCACTACGTAAACATACAGTAAATGTATAAACACCTGGCCATCGTGGCGCTGTAAATTTTAACTGAACTTCTTCAAAATGTGCTAACGATGTAACGTGAACGGGAGCTGTCAACAACGTTTGACTCTTACGATCACAGATGTAAACCCACCAGTATTCCTGTTTAACATCTGGAAAAAGTGGACAATGCACTTCGTGCGATAAATTACTTCTTCCCTCTAAAACTTTTTCTCTTTTTGAGAGTTTTTGCTGAAACCTAGTGATGAAAACATCGAGAAATTATTGAATTTGTTATCATGAATATTAATACATTATAAAAAAATATTTCACCTTTCCCATTCTGTATCGTCGTCGTCAATGGATACGTCTTTTTTATCATGACTATCTTCATCGTCACTTCTGTCACTATCAACATCACTGTCACTTACATCAGATCTATCTTTGGAAGACTCTTTTTCTCCTTTGTCCTCTTTTTTCCTTGCATTAGGAGTATTTGTTTGTTGAGCATTATTATTACCATATTGAGACTGCGCATTTTTTGGTGCAGCAAATTTCTTACTAGGTCCCTTTTTATGAGATTTCTTTTGACCTTTCTTTTGTCTGAGCCACGCTGGCTTTCTGACAGACTGAATTTGCTCTTCTATCACTTCATCGGGAGCATCGTTACCTATTTTACTATCATCAATCATTGTTTGTTCTTTGATGGTGTCATCTCCGAATAAATGTTTCATATCTTTACGAGTTAATGATACTGTTACAGTTACAATAGCACCAGCAGTATAAACAGTTGGGTTTTCATCGTCGATTACTAAAATTGCGTAGTCAGATATAATTTTCACGAAATAAATATGATCACAAATGATGGTAAATAAACTTTACCTTCAGAACGCACTTTAAACTCTATATACGGCATATTTCCAAGGACTTTCATTACATCTTCATATTGACTGTCTGATAAGTTTCTAAGGATCAGTCTTCTTTCTTCTCCTTTCAATTGTGCAAATTGTTGAAGACTTTTGATTTGATGCTATTAATCAATGTCACAATATTTAATTATTAAATACAATAAACATAATGTAATTTCATTGTGTATAAATTAAATATTATAGTGATCCAAGCATACCTTTTTTGGTAAGAAGCATTTTAAATTATCTTCCGTTATATGTGGTAACTGTAAAAGAGGATTTTTAAATTCCCAAAATCCTTGTACTATCATTGAACATAACTTCATACAATTTTCTACAGTTTTAATAGTTGGTAAACGCGGGACTGAAAGGAAAGATACCTCTTAAGTAATATAAAAATATATTCAAATTTATATTGATAATTAAAGCTGTTAAAAGACTATTCTTGATCATATACGCAAAGATATATTGTATAAAGTATAGAATTTATTCGTACTTTATAAAGCATGCATATGTACCTCTTCTAGCATAAGCTAATAGAATCACTCGATTAACGCAAGTTACCATTTCTTGAATTAAATATGGACATTTTTTTATTATGTACTGTCTATCTTTTTCTAATGTTTCTGGATTTAGCTGTAGGCGAGATAAATGTGCATGAATTAAAGCTCTAGCTTTAATTGAATAGGAGTCACATAGTGGTGTTTCCTTATTTTTTACTCCTAGGTCTGGCAGTTGTTTGATAAGCTGAAAATAAAACAAAAGAAAAAATACTGAAATTACTTCAAGCAATTAAATGACCACATAAGTTATCTCCTAATTTTACTTTTACTAGTTCCAATAAAATGAAGATAAACTAATAAAATAATGTATTATTTGTCTTACTGAATAAACTTCTTCACTATCTGTGTATCTTTCAACTATTTCTGCATTCCGTTTCTTGTGAAATTCAAATGAAGCAGCAAGAATCATAATAACTCTTTTCAGTGACATAGATGGAGTTTTAATAAAAAAGACATAATATAATTGAGTAGTCTCTAGTAACACCTAGAAATAAAAAAAATTAAACGGTTATTTGACTAATATTTCATTATCTTTCTCAAAATTGAAATTTATTTACTTGATCACCAGTATAACGAATACTCTTATACCACCATGTTCCAACAGCAGTTGGCAAAGCACACATGAACACCAACAAATACAATCCTAAAACCCATACTGAATTTTCTTTTTCAACTATCCAAGATGGTAAAGCTATTCCAAAACTCATTGCTCCTGGACCATCTGGATTTCCATACTTTTCCCAGTTTTTTCGAGCTTCCTCATCCGTTAGCGCTCGATAAGCTGTTAATTAATATAGAGACAAATGTTATTTCTTTTTAATACAACTAATACCTACATGTTATAATAACTATATTACGTTATTATTAGCATTAATAAAAAATAATTGTTAGTACGCAATTATAATACAGTTAAACCTCTGTTTATTGTTTTTGAAAATACTTATTGAACTACATCAGAGTTGGACAGAGTTGTTTTGTGATTACTTACGTAATTAATTATTGAAAATAATCATGATAATTATGATTGTTAATCAATTAATCTTTATTATGATAAATCAATAACCACAAAAAATTTTTATAATCTGAAACCATAAATGAATAATTTGCAATTGTTAGACAAATACTTAATTTATATTTTACTTAAGACATACAAACTGTTTAACAGAATTTTTAAATAAGAGTTATATTAATTTAATCATTATCAATTTTGTAACCAATAATTATTAAATTAATCATGTTTTTTGATTTCATTAGCTGTAATCACTTTCCTTATTCATTAGTCATGGTTACTGATATCTATTCACTTAATCATAATCTTTAATCATTAATCAGATTAGATTTTGCCCAACTCTGAACAGCATTTAGTTAGTATTCAATATATTAAGCATTATATATTTATTCTTACCTTTAGTTAATTTCATAAATGCCTTTTCATTTCCAGTTTCTTTATCTGGATGAAGAATTAAAGAAAGTTTACGGTATGCTTTTTTAATGTCACTTTGACTTGCGGACTAGGAATAATTTTTACATTATGTATATGGTGCTACATAAGTTAGATACATATATATATTCATAGATATACAAGTTATACTTACAGGAGGAACTCCAAGTATTTCAAAAGGATCAAAATTGGTCATTTCATAGTCAAATTGTGATACCTTATATGCCAAAAAAATAAGGATTATCCACCCAAAAATAATCATAAATTTCCTGCAGTAATGCAATTACATTAAATAAAAGAATGTTTAACTTGCATATAAACAAATACTATATAAAACAACTTACATAAATAATGCTTTGGTTTCTTTCCATGGTTCATTACGGTGCAAAATAATTTTCTTCTTTTTACATCCATCACATTGACACTCTTTAGCCTCTTGATCGGGATCTGATTACAAAGCAATTATTGTCATTTATTACTACTTATCAAGTTAATTCACTAAATTACATCAATGAAATAACAGTTTAAAGTTGCTAAAAAAGTAACTCATATATAGGCTACATATAGACTACATACTTTTATGTATTCATGATAGATTAAAATTTAAATATAAATCGTACAATCTATTAAATTCATATTAGCTTAGGGTAAAGATATGGTTAATAAAGAGGATAAGGCTCATCAACCACAGGTCTGGAATATCGAATTAATCATTATAGAACTATAGTAGGAGATATACTTACTAAAGAAAACAATATTCACAACATATACACTATGCCAGGTTTTATTACAACTAATGACAAAATAGAATATTTGTCATAGTAGGAAAATGTAATATATATAAACTTACTTAAAATTGTTATTTATAATCATTATATCTAAGAGAATAATTAAGACCATTGTATACTTTTTGGAGAAAAATTTTTGATATAATTTATAGTAATTGTATCAAACAAAATTATATACTTGCAATAGTAAACACTGCAATAATATATAGTATATTCTATATTATGTATAATGTACTATTACACTTTTTACATATAATTAGCCATATTTTATATTTTAAATAACATTTTATGCTATGAACTAATGTAGAATATTGTTAATAATTATAATATAAAAACAGAATTATTTTTAAACAATCGTTATTGAATTTTAAATAAAAACTAAGATATTAATAAGTATTAAATGTTTTATTTACATACTACTGTTCAAAACTCTATACTCCGTTATTGAGATTGCTAGTAAATTAGTAACGGTATATTCGCAATTAAGTGCTGGTCAGTCTTCCGTCAGAATGTTATAGAGCGGACTGTATATAGAGGAGAATGATCGTGAAATACAAAGATTTGCGTTAACGGAACGAAAAATAATGTATAAATATGAAATGTTGTAGTACTATCATTTATTTTTTACGTTAAATTTGTAAATAAATTTGTTGGAATCTAACCTTGTTTGGGGCAACGTGGCCAAAGGTAGTAGGTCCCAGGTATCAAAAGAAGTGCCAGGAATGACAGTAAAAAGTAGAAAAACGTTCCACCGCTTTCGTCATATTGCAATTTTTGGCCGCTCATGACTCATTAAGTAATAATATTTAAGTATATTGTTTAAGTACATTCATTACTAACTCCACTTTAAACTCACGGTACCATTCAATACATACAATGCAGTGGCAGTTACAAAGCTGTCGTCGTCAAGACTGCCAACTCAGCACCAAATGCTAATACATAGTTTAAGTCTACCGTGCAATTGGCGTTGCCGGTCACGTCCACTTATGTGCATATAACGAGAAAAAGAGGAGGATGTTACGATTCGCGATAATTACGTCTGTTAACAAACGACAGAATATTAACCCCACAGTTATGTACTACTTTACTGTACCCATGTGAGTTTACGATGCACCACATCGTCATAACACCACAACTTTATAATTCCCTTACACTCTAACCTAGAAATACTACTATCGATAACGATATCGATAAATATCGATAATATTGAAATGATGTGGTAATATCGTTCAGATAATTAAAATGTAAATATGAAAACGTAATGCGTAATTTTATTAATTAAATAATTAATATTATTCTTGTTGAATCTTTGATCTAATTTAATCTAATTTGTAATTTTATTATTCACATCAATTTCTATTTGAAGCATCAAAGAAACATTTCCTTGAAACAAAAAAACTTCATTGATATTTAAATATGAGTAGAGAAATTTAAATAATATGACTTTACGATTTACCTTGAATAGAACGATATTATCGTTACGTCATAAGGAAGTAGATACGATATTAATCGCGTATCGATAAGCGACAACAGCACTCTTACTTTTTATCTCTATTTTCTTCCTGCAACAAGTAATGTCACTAATGTCAATGTCATATAAGAGGTGCTGTTACTGGTAATTGACAAGCTATCAATATATTATTAATACTTAACAATATATCGATAATACTGTTATTGGTTAAGATATTGTTAAAGTACCAGGGCTAACGGGAGTACTTAAGGTAAAATGTAATGTGTGTAATTTTATCGTTTAAATTTATTTTTGTTTTAACTTCAAACCTAGCTTAACATAACCTGACACATAAGGTTATCATTCAAACTTATATATTATATTTTCATTCATCTATTCATTTATGTGTAAGCTTTAAATCTAATATAACCTAATTTCAAATAATAACAATTTTAATTAATAAGAAATCAGAGTAGATTAGGTTCGAAGTATAAATAAGAATAAGGAACATATAAAAAGATTAATTATTTTTATACAAATAAATCCGAACGATAAAATTACGTGTTAGATTTTATTTCAGTCACTAAATATTTGGCGATAATAATATCTCAAGCTATTGATACCATGTCGGTATTATCGATAATAACACTTTCTGTATGAGCACTCGAGAGCAAATTTAATTTTTCTGTGCAAAATGGCGTTCAAATGTTTTGGCATTTTCGAAATTGATAATTCATCAAATTTTTGCAAGTAAATGTTTACTTTTCATAAATAAGCTGTTTTATTGCATACTTTACATTTCAAAAGGATTCTAACAGTAACATTAGCGTATTAATTACTTTATTTGTACAATAAGATTATGTAAATTATTGTTATTTCATTGTAATTGAATATTACATTCACATTCATATTTACTTAAAGAAGTATTACAGCAGTTTAATATGTGAGTAAGGTGTAGAAGATGATAGCTTATTGGAAAGTAATTAATTTAATGAATCGAAAGTATTTCGGAAATCTCGTTTTTACATGTATTTTAAAATTTATATTTTCGCGCGCACTGTCCCATTACAATTTTGCGAGCACTATCCAGCGATAAATACGAAAAGACAGGAACAACAGTTTCGTCTTTCCGTGAAATAAAGTATTTTTATGTTTTGTAGACGCTTGAAAATTGTTTTACTGTTACGACGGAGTGAGAAAAATGCTTTTGTAGTGTGCTGCATTCATTAAACGAAATTTTGAAAACAATTATGTATTTTACTTATTTTTTCTGTCTTACTAATACTTATAAAGCATTCTATAACCGTTCACTCGGGGAAACTTCGGAATACCATCATGTTTCGATTCTGCTCAAATTTTGCGAACAAGCTCCTTTTTTTAAAAGAAAACATATCAAAAAAAGGTTTTAATCGAATTTTCGCGAAAATGTTCTAAGTGGCGCCATCTCTTCGGCGAACACGGTGAACTACACGGTTTTGGAACTGTAGTTTCATTAGTTCTCAGACAGTGCCGCAAGATGGCGCGACGTGCACCGTTTTTTGTTCAATTCAATAAATACACCTAATTTTATAAGCTTAACTGACTATAATATTAATTGAAATACAATAATTGTATGTGTGTAAATACATACAACAATTACCTTCGAATTTTTTTGATTTTACTAAATTTTTAACGGTTTCTAGCGGCAGAAGATGGGAACTAATTAAACTATAGTTTCAAAAGTGTATAGTTCACCCCTTTCGCCGGAAAGATGGCGCCACTTATTACATTTTCGTGAAAATTCAATTTTCGTAAAAATTCAATTAATATTGATTTTATTGATTAATGTGCTATGTATTTATTATTTATTTATTAATATTGATTTTATGCTATTTTCAATACATTCCGTGGGTCCGAAGATGCGGATTACGGTTTGGTTTGGCTCTTGTTTCGGAACAGTTTGCACACTATGCTGTATCTCGTCGATCATATAGGGAATGACATAACAATGGTAGAAAGATTAATTTTAAAGTGTTTTAAAAGCGTTAACTAGTTGGAGTAATCAATTAATGTAAAACTTCTGTTGGATAGTTAGTTCCCACCTTCCGCCGCCAAATGACGATTTTAAGTTTCATAAAATGCAACTTTTTCTATTTTCGAATATGCAGCTCTAAGCTTATTGTAAAGCTACTTTTTTTATTTTATCGTGCCCGCAGAATAATTTGTGAGTATAGCAATGTGTAAAAATGCTTTATTTCACAAACAATGCTATTCTTTGTTTCGGCAGTACATGACCGCCAGATTGCGCCAGCAATATATTTCTAGGCAGTGCGCGCGAAAATATAAATTTTTAAATTTAGATAAGAATACGGATTCTGAAATGCTTTTAATTTTTTCAAATTAACTACAATATAATAAACTTGTCTCTTATATCTTTTTTATGTATTAAATTTCTATGATTCTCTAGTTACGAATTTAAATTTCAATGTCAATTTCATTTGTAAAAAAATGTTAAGGTATGTTCTAGTTTAGTTAACAGAATTAGCTTTTGGAAACGTAAAGTGTACAATAGCACAGTTTGCATTTAAAAGTAAGCATTGCGACAATTTTATTATTTATCGATTTTGAAAATGTTTGTTGTAAATTAAGCATAATACGTGGCAATGCGCAAATATAATGTGGGATGGTAGGGACATGTTCCTCTAGGCTGCCATTTCTTCCAAGGATACCAGATTTGCACTGAGTGTACATGCATATAAATGCATACGTCATACCGTCGTATTCAATGTTTACCATAAACAAACGCATCGCTACTGACATTGATAAGAAATGTCGATTTTGTAAATACAAATCATGAACAAAGAGCACTGTTTGTCAACCTCAGCGTTATTACATTCTGGATTAGTGAATGTGTTTAATCAAAATCGGTGATAAAAGATACGAGCGACATTTGGAATTATCCCAAATAAATGTGAAACAAAGTCTAAACAATTTGTTAATTCTTAAATAATTCGTACGTAACCATAAAAATGAAAGGAAATATTAAATTAGAATAATCATTTATTTGTATTTTATATCCTCTTTCTAAAATGTGGAATTAAAACAGCTGTTTTTAGATTTTTTAGTCATTTATTTTTAAATACGTAATTTCATTTGTGTTTGGATCGTTCATTGACTTTTCTTTCCAATTAACAGATATGATTAAAAATTGGCTGTACGTCAAATAATTGTGAAATTTATCAAGACAAGTTCATCATGCTTTAAATTAAAGAACCAAGCGGTAAATGTGTCGACTGTATCTGTGACATTCTGATCAATGGTGCTGTCTGGATTAGTTTATTTACAAATACATACTGCCAATGTATGGTTCTGTTTGACAATAAAACTATGATATTCATTATATATTTACATTATGTATAATAAACGCACTAAAAAATTGTGATATCTGACTTTGATAATCCAAATACTAAATTTCTAAGGTACGTAAAACGATAGTTGGTGGGTAGGTTAGATGCATTTTAAAACGTACGTCATTAATAAGGTAATTTGAATTAGAAAACTGTTTATTTTTTGGTTGATAACTGAGATGATACTTATAAATTTAGTTTTTCATGTTTAAATCATGATCTTAATAATTTTAAAGACATTGACAATTCTATCATAACCATTATTGTTGTTGTTATTATTGTTATTATTACTGGTATAAGTTGAAAGATATTGTTAACATTAAATTTTATATTGTCGTTACATTAAAATATAATCATGCACCTATAATGTATATTACACTGCTAACGGTTTATTTCTGAACTACTTAATTATAAACTTTTAATGTTCTTTTATGCAGAATTAAAATAATTTTATATCATAAATGATGACTGCAAAAAATGTAGCTGAGTGGACACAACAAGATGTGGCAAAATGGCTTAATGAAGCTGGACACAAAAATTTTGTTGATTTATTTGACTATGAAGACATTGATGGCAAGGTGTTGTTAACTTTGAAAGAAGATGATGTGAAGTCGATATGTCACAATGAAAGATACAAATTTGGAGACATTAAAAGACTATATATTAATATAAAGCAATTGCAAAGAGATAATATGGCAGTATTATTTGAATTAGGATACATCGACATATATCCTTCACCTAATTTTTACAGTCATCATAAGCATGAAGTAAGTACAACTTTTTCATTATTTTTGTTTAACCTGTAAGATTTAGAGTTCAGGATCTTGGATCTCTTCAAATTTGTGTCCATGATCCATTTATAATGTTTTATTTTTAAAAGTTCAAAGCTAAGAGATTTTAAAATATCCAAAGTTCAAACATTTTAAATTTCTAAAGCCTCTAATCTAGAAAGTTTAAAATGTACTCTAAAGGTTAATATCATTAACTTACGAATGTGCCTTATAAATTTATCAAGTATACAATAACAAATAAAGTTAATTATAGTTTAATATTTTTTGATAGATGCCTATTAAGGGTATAAATAATGAGAACTCTATCGAACATGAATTTTGTTCAGCATCTGTCTCAGAAGATGGACATGCGTCACATTTACCACCAGAAATCTGGAAGGCTTTCATTAGTTTGGCTTATTTATTTATTGTTACATGGATTACTGCCTTTGTGATGGTCATTGTTCATGATAGAGTTCCAGATATGAAAAAATATCCTCCATTACCTGACATATTTTTAGATAATGTTCCACATATTCCTTGGGCATTTGATATGTGTGAAGTTACAGGAACCATACTTTTTGCAATATGGCTTATTGTATTAATTTTCCACAAATACAGGTAAAATATCTTATAATTTTATAAAATTTTCATGAACATCTACCATAGACAAGTGCATTGAAATTCTAATAATATGTTTTTCAGGTTTATCTTACTACGAAGATTTTTTGCTTTATCTGGTACAGTCTTCCTTTTAAGATGCGTTACAATGCTTATTACTTCCTTATCAGTACCAGGTGCACATTTGCAATGTCAACCACGTAAGGTTCCTGAAGATTGGACAAGGTATATTTATTTCTATTATTTGTTGTTTGCTGTCACTTTCCTGTTCCTGTTGAAATACTGGCCTTAGTATGCTAGTATTCATTAAAATAGTACATTTTAGTATGATTAGTGACAGTAAACGTATTTAAATATTTATGAAAAAGGAAAAAAATGTATTATTGTTATCTTTATTTTACAGTTCTGCATACGTAGAATTGTATAATAAGATTGCTATGGCTTATGTTATATGGCGTGGTGCTGGTATGTCTATCCAAGGTGTTAGAACTTGTGGTGATTATATGTTTAGCGGACATACTGTTGCCCTTACCATGTTAAATTTTTTCATTACAGAATGTAAGTATTAATATATTTTTATATAAATTATAGATAATGTTGGATAAATTTTTTTCTTACAGATACACCGCGACAATTGTACTTCTTACATACCTTTACCTGGATGCTCAACATGTTTGGTATATTCTTCATTTTAGCCGCACACGAACATTATTCTATTGATGTTTTTGTAGCCTTTTATATTACTTCTCGACTGTTTCTTTATTACCATACGTTAGCAAATAATCAAGCATTGATGCAACGTGATTCCAATAGGACCAGAATTTGGTTTCCATTATTTAGTTTTTTTGAATCTTCCGTTGATGGCATTGTACCAAACGAGTACGAATCACCGTCGTTGATTATTTGTAATTTGGTGGGTACAGGGAAAGATATATGGAATTTGGTACGATCTTCAATTTGCTTCCGTAAATCATGGCGCAATATAAATGGTAGTATAAAAACTAGCACAAAGAAAGAACACTAGCCAATTTATTGATTGTATCAGTTTTATATTTATTTGATAATAGATTTTTGAGAATATTAACTTTGTTTAACAGTTCTCTTTGTATTTAAAGTAACAAAGAAGATTATTTTAGCAAAGAAGATTATTATATAGTAAGTATTTATTTTTCTAAGTGAAACTATTAACGAGGTTAATAAAATGACCTGACTGTTATCTAAACGAGTTTTTGTTATTTAGAGTTTTCTAATGTTTATGTAGTAGTTATTTATAAGAGTTCTTTCGAACTGTACTGCGGCCTTTCGAAACAAAGATTTATCTAATAAAACATTACATTATTTTTATTAATGCTAATTTTACTTTTTTGAATTTATTTTTAAAATTGTATTTATGTTATTCAAGAGAAATGTTTATTTCTTTCGGACAAATACAATTGGCTGTACTGTTACTATGCTGTTGCAATGTATAAACTTTTATGAAATATGTATTTAATGTTATACCAAAATAGTTATTTTATAGAGAAAAGAAAACGATCTTCGCATCTATCATTTGTATTATAGTATCATATATTTTTGGTTAAATATACTCATATTCAAAATTATGTTTATTGCATTATATTCTAAAGTGAAATTACAAATTTCTGAAAGTTACAGCGATGAACTTTAAAATAAATCGTAAATATTGCTAAAAGTTGAATCGATACAAAGATCTATGAATCTTTTTATTCTATAACTTTTGATATGCGTCTTAAACATGTAAAGAGATGGATTAGTGTAATATTATATAGAAATATAAATAGCTTTTCCACCTTTCATTCATATTTACTCTTTACTGAAAAATAATTATAAGCAGAAGAATTTTTACTTCTTCTTTCTATTTTCACATTAATCATGCATATTTAAATCTTTGATTATTTTTATTGTCATGCGACTTTGAAAACTGAAGTAATAAAAACTAGTTGTGAATGATTAAATGAATTCTTAACTTTTAATATACATATAATTATGTACGTGTGCGTGTGCGTTTGTGTGTATGCGTTTATACATTACACACACGGATCATGTATATAGGGTGTTCAAAAAATTGTGGTAGGAGCAAACAGAAGGTGATTTCTTAAAAAAATAGGAATAATATAATAATAAGCTTATATGTATTAAAGTAAACTGCAGAAAAGAATATATGAAGCAGTTCTAATAACTTATAGAAAGAAAAAGAGACCATATTAGAGATAAGAAGAAGATTAATTCATTTATTCTGAAAGTAATTAAAACGCTCAAGTAAACAAATATGTCCAATAATAAAATGTTAAAAATATTCATGAGATATATGAAAAACGTATTTTAAATGTAAGAGAGCACTTACTGACCTCTTAAGTTCATTTAAAGATTTTTAATAAAGATTAAAAATTTACAGAAATTGAAAAATTACGGATATAAAGTTGTAAAAAATTTAAATATTGTGATGAAATAATTGAAGTAAAAATTAATTTGGGAATATAAGAACTCACTTTATATTCACGAATTTTTCACTAAAAATCACCTTCTTTTGTATTCGTATTACAATTTCCAGTACCACCCTACTATTAATAATCTTATTTTTTGTGCTATTTAAATAGAGTAAAAGTATGCATATTGAATTTTTCCGTTGTAAGAATCAACAATTGATAAGAGACTATCTGTAAAATATATTTATATTTGTTACAAACAGAATATAGTTACTTGAATCTTGAAGACGGCTCGTAATATATGCTATTAAAATAAAGTTAATACGTAAATAGCAAAGTTATGTGATAAAAATTATTTTACGTATATAGTAATATTTATACTATCATTATAATCTATGACCATCTTGTATTAGGTTGACCAGATTATTTTTCGACATTGTATTACTTTGAATGTATTTTATATTCTTTTACAAACGACTGTAAATTATAAGTTTTATATTGTACGATATAAATTCATTATTAATAATTTATTATACAGAACCTTTGTAAATATGATATTTAAATTAGTTGTACAATTGACATTAAACAATGTTAACTTTGTTACAAATTGGAACAAATACCAAATTTCTCAAGGTATCCTTTATATAGTATCTATAGATAAAATATTATATTATAAAATGAGCACGTTTTGATTTTGCAGTTAATAAACTATGAGAGATTAGTTATCTTGATAAATTATTAATATATTTAATGAAAATTTCTTGTACAGTAGACTCTCGTTATATTGCCACGTAGAGAGTTGACGAAAGAATTAGTAAAGGGGAATTTGTTTAATTGGCAATATAACAAGAATCTATTGTATTGACACCTTCATGCGCATATTGGCGCAGTTATCATATGGCCATTTGTTGTACTGCCACGCTATACATCGTATTACCATGCGTTATATTGCCACGCATTGTATTTTTAAATTTTCAAACTGCTAAATTCAACAATTTTCAGATTCTCCATCTGATATCCAAATCAACAAATCCCAAAATTAAAAAAATGATAAATTCTTGAATTTAAAAAATTCCCAAATTATCAAAATCTTGAAATGTAAAAATTTTTAAATTATCAAATTTCCAAATTTCAAAATCCTTCACCTCTCAAATTTCTAAATTCTTATATTGTGAAATTGCAAATTCTAGAATTATTAAATTTTCATACTCTAAAATTTTCAAACTTACAAATCTTCATATCCTCAAATTTCCAAATTCTCAAATTTAAAAATTTTGCAATTCCATATTCTCAAGTTACCCAAAATATAAAATTCGACAAGTTTCCAAATTTCCTAATCGCCAATTCGAAAAATATTTGAACACATTCGAGAAACAGTATTTTTTTCCCCGTCTACATTTCCTTCCCGTTCATGGCAATATAACGAGAGTCTACTGTACCTTAATTCGTCAAAAATAGTACCGTTCACGCAACTGTGTTCCATTCCTATAATTAAACCGCCGGTGTATAGATAGCTTGACGGTTTCCGAGCAAACTCAGTAACCATCTAGTTTTCTCGTTATTCCACATTTCAATTACAATTTTTTATTTCTATATTAAAAATAATGAAAATTGATATTTCATAAACGAAACTGTGTTGCTCTTCTCTTGACTTGTGAATATTACATCGGTCTCTTATCAGGTATGTCTCATAAAATGATATGATTAATGATTTATCTACATCCTGAATCATCGGTGTGTCTTTTGTATCACGCTTGATAGTGGTGTACTTTGTTCATAAACACAAATTGCACTTTAAACATCAGCAAAATGGTGTTTAGAATATATTCTCATTTGAAATTGTCAAGTTTGGGTGATTTATGACATAAAAAATTGGGTTATCATTGCTTCAGTTCAAAACTTTTTAACCATATTCTGCAGTGTTCCAAGATAACACATTGCAATTATTACTAGGCAATTATTTGTATCATTATTAAAACTTATTAAAATATAATAGTTCCACAACATGTCACATTTGATGTTATTACAATTAATGTTTTGTCTAAAACAAAAAACTTAAAGATGATTTTAATATACATATACACATTTATAAATGTATATTTTGTGAACTAGGATATTGTAAACAAAATTGTTAACAGAATGTCAGTCATACAAAGCGAATGTTCGTAAAATTTGTAACTTCTTCAGGTAAAATCAAAACTTTTATCAATATGGGCATACTCTTAGCAAAAATACTAACATGTTCACCGATTAAAAGAAAAATTTATAATGAAGCACAGAGTTTAATAAAAATACGCATAAATAGCAAGGTCAAATATACAAAAATATCTATGACAGGGAAGTATCATATTGAAGTTGAATCATTTTGAACATCATCACTTGAACATCATTAGTTGAACATCACAGCTTTGAAGCATCGTATCTTGGGAATGATCTGCACAAAATAGTAAACATAGATAGTATTTTAAAAATACTTTGATGAGAGTTGGAATACGTAATAAAAATGAGGAACTTTATTTAAGAAACTAAATATAATGTCTATTTCATGTTCATATTTATTTGATCCTCAAACAACCATCTAAACACTTACACTTCATATCCCACAACTTTTGAAACATTTTTCCATATTCAAAGCCGTTTCCAAAATACGAGACGAAGGCAAAAGGTAAAGAGACATTTGAGAAAAGGGGCATTTCTTCTAATGGTAAAAACGTGAAACACACCTTGGGTCATTCCACGCTAAATCGATCACTTCTGGACGTCACCATTTGCCATTTTGCTCTAATCAAACTATATTGTAGTCCATGTGAAATTAGGGGGGGTTTAAGTCATCATTTTGCCGGTTTAGAATTTATTAAGGAATAACAAGCCTTCAAAGTTCACAATTTTTTACCATTTTTGCGAAAATTGGCTTCACTTACGAATTTTTTTTTCAGAAACTACTCAATCAATTTAGCTAAATTCTTTTCTGTTTAATTCATAAAGGATTAAGCTATTTTAAAATATTTTTTCCAATTCTGTCCAAGTTGTCTGCAATCAATTAAATCCCTTTACTTTTTGATTACCCTCGTTAAGGGTAGGTTGAACTTCAAAGATAAGCTGTATAGCAAAATGAAGGTGTGAAAAGAATACAGGTACAAAAAATGTGAAAATATCAATAGGAATATTTCTTTAAATATTCGACAGTGAAGGGACCATGGAATCGCAGACGGAAGGAGTATGTCCGATCTGCAACGGTCACGCAACACTGAAATGCAGCGGTTGCAAGCAGCAATTTTATTGCAACAAGGATCACCAGCGACAAGATTGGAAGCGACACCGATCCGTGTGTCAGGCATGGGAGATTCACGAGGACTCTGAACTGGGTAGACATTTATTGGCATCGAGGGACCTGGATCCAGGCGATGTGGTCTTGTCGGAGGCCCCAGTGGTTTGGGGCCCTGCTCTGCACGGGGACGATCAAAGACTTTGTGTGGGATGCGGAAAACAATGCAAAAGTAGCAGCACCAGGTGTAATAGCTGTGGCTGGGCAGCATGCAAGATGGACTGTCCTGGTCTGACAGATAATACTACACATGGGTTGGAGTGCTCGTATCTTATCAAAACCGCGATATTTCCTAGGTTTGTAATGTACAATTAATGTGTGCTGGGTTTGTAATGGGTAGTGGGTGCGGTGATATAAAATGTTGATTTTAACTTGTTTTTAGTGATAGTTTGGCGGTGGTTGTGTTGAGATGATTTGGGAACTTTGGAACTTGGAAATTTGGAATTTGAGAATTTTGGGAATTTTGGGAATTTCGGGAATTTCGGGAATTTTGAAAATGTTGGGAATTTTTGGAATATCGGGAATTTGGAAGTTCGGGAATTTAGGAAGATGGGAAGTTGGAAATTTTGGAATTTGGGGATTTGGGAATTTAGGAATTTGGGAATTCGGGAATATTGGGAATTTGGGAGTTAGAGAGTTTGGGAATTTTGGGAATTTGGGAGTTTGGGAATTTAGGAATTTGGGAATTCGGGAATATTGGGAATTTGGGAGTTAGAGAGTTTGGGAATTTTGGGAATTTGGGAGTTTGGGAATTTAGGAATTTGGGAATTCGGGAATATTGGGAATTTGGGAGTTAGAGAGTTTGGGAATTTTGGGAATTTGGGAGTTTGGGAATTTAGGAATTTGGGAATTCGGGAATATTGGGAATTTGGGAGTTAGAGAGTTTGGGAATTTTGGGAATTTGGGAGTTTGGGAATTTAGGAATTTGGGAATTCGGGAATATTGGGAATTTGGGAGTTAGAGAGTTTGGGAATTTTGGGAATTTGGGAGTTTGGGAATTTAGGAATTTGGGAATTCGGGAATATTGGGAATTTGGGAGTTAGAGAGTTTGGGAATTTTGGGAATTTGGGAGTTTGGGAATTTAGGAATTTGGGAATTTGGGAATTTTGGAAATTTGAGAGTTTGGGAATTTAGGATTTTGGGAATTTAGGAATCTTGAGAATTTTGGAAATTTTGGAAATTTTGGGAATTTGGTAGTTTGGGAATTTAGGGATTTTGGAAATTGGGAATTTGGAAGTTTGGAAATGTAGGAAGTTGGGAATTTAGGAAATTTGGAGAATTTGGGGATTTGGAAATTTTGGGAATTGGGAATTTTGGTATTTGGGAATTTTGGATCTTTGGATCTTAGGACTTTGAGAAGATGTGAATTTAGAAATTTAGGAATGAAGAACTTTGGAACTTGGGAATTTGGGAAGCTGGGCGTTTGGTGAATGTGGGGAATTTGGGGAATTCGGGGAATTTTAGAAATTTTGGAAATTTTGGAATTAAGGAATTTTGGTATTCTGAAATTTGGAAATTCAAAAATTTGGGTATTAAAGAATTTAGAAATTTAGGTATTCAAGTATTAAGGTTCTGAGAACTTGGCCATTTGACAATTTATGAACTTAGCAATTTATTAATCTGGAATTTTGAAAGTTGCTTTTTTGTAATTACCTTTCCCTAATCGAATCTATATAACACACGTCCACCTTACAAATTTCTCCACTCTTAAATATCCAAATTTCAAAGTCAACAAGTTACCGAATCACAGAATTCATACAATTTCTTAGCTTTCAAAAAAACCAAACATTAAAATTCTCGAACGAGTGACAAGATCTCTTCATAAAATTACATTTTCCTCGTAGATCAGATGTTTTACTGGTGATCCGTATGTTACTACTATGGCGCAAAAAATCTAAACAATGGATGGCTTTAGAAAAATTGCAAAGCCATGATGATTCTCGTGGTCCTGGAACACAGGCGTACGAAGAAGCCATGAATATGTGTGAACATATTCAACGTTTTTTACCAGCAATCGGTGCTGGTAAAGAAATTGTTGCCAAAATTTGTGGCTTGATAGATGTTAACGCGTTGGAAACCGCACCTCCTAGAGGATGTGTTGCCATTTATAATACGGCTTGTCTTTTGGAACATTCTTGTGTCGCTAACACGAGACACAGCTTTTCAATCGATGACAAAGGAAGACCAAAAATTACGGTCAAAGCACTTTGTTCTATTAAAAAGTACGTATACTTTTGAAAAGCGATGAATTTGATTTTTTAGTATTAAAATTATTGTTAGAATGTTGTTTGTGACATTTTTATTTGTTGTAATTGTTCTTATAACAATTGTTCTTTATTGTAATTGTTTTGATAATAATTTTTCTTTACTGTAATTGTTCTTACACTAATTGTTTTTTATTGCAATTGATTGCAAGAATTAATTGTATTTTTTTGCAATTATAAGTGATTACAGTAATTAATTGTTCTTTACTGCAATTTTGAGCGATTATAATAATTAATTATTCTTTATTCCAACTTTAAGTAATCATAATAATAAATCTTCATATTTTGCAATTGTAAGTAATCACAATAATTAATTGCTCCTTATTGCAATTATAAGTGATTGCAGAAATTATTTCACTGCAATTTTAAGTGATTATAATAATTAATTATTTTTTATTGCAACTTTAAGTAATCATAATAATAAATCTTCATATTTTGCAATTGTAAGTAATCACAATAATTAATTGCTCCTTATTGCAATTATAAGTGATTGCAGAAATTATTTCACTGCAATTTTAAGTGATTATAATAATTAATTATTTTTTTATTGCAACTTTAAGTAATCACAATAATAAATCTTCTTATTTTGCAATTGTAAGTGATTATAAAAATTAATTATTTTTTGCTAAAAATATAAAAATTAATTACTCTTTATTAATTATTCTATTTCTTATTTTTTATTACAATTTTAAGTAATAAAACACTGATTCATATATTCTATAATTTATTTTGTCATACTAAGAAGGTAGTTACACAAAATAATTCTACAGAAAAAATAATAAATTTAAAATGTAAAATCAAATTTTTTATCTCATATCACAATTTTACAGGAGTACCATTAAGTTAATTTCACACGATAATATATTTTTATCGTCCAGTACTCGAATAATTTTCTAATTTATGTTACTTTTATCTACAGAGGGGAACATTTGAGTACAATGTACACCCATGCCCTGTGGGCAACGAGAGCCCGAAGAGCTCATCTACTGGAGACAAAATACTTTTCTTGTCGTTGTAAACGGTGCGCCGACCCAACAGAGTTAGGATCACATCTCGGTACTTTGAGATGTCCACACGATAATGGTTTTATTTTACCAAAAGACCCGCTGGACTTCGAAACAGACTGGGCCTGTGATTCGTGTCCCGGTGTTCTCACAGCGTCGGAAGTGATGCAGTTCACCGGAAAATTGGAGGAAGATGTCGACGAAGTTATGTATCAACCGAGCAAGAACGCTTTGATCGATCTCTATTCCAGGTAAAAATAATTTTCGTTGTTATATTTCACAGAAGTTCATCGGTAATCGTTTTATTTATACAAAAAATAATTAGTTTACAAATACATGGTTTGCGTACGTGCCGGTGATTACGAAGGTTAATTTTTTAAATGCGTTGAATTTTTCACTTGTATCACTTTAGGAATTAAATTCTCCAAATTCTCGAAGACCCAAAGTGTCAAATTTCAAAACTTCCAGCTTTTCAAGTTTCTAAATTTTTAAATTCTTAAATCCCCAAATTCAAAAAGCTCTAAATTCTTAACTTCCCAAAGTTGAAAATTTTCAAATTCCTCAAATTCCCAAATTTCCAAGTTCCAAATTTCCTAAATTCCCCAAATTCTCCAAACTTTCCAAATTCTCCAAGTTTCCCAAATTTCCATCTTCCTACATTCCCAAGCTCCAAAACCCCAATTCCCAAAATTCTCAAATTCCAAATTTCCAAGTTCCAAAGTTTCTACATTTCCCAAATTCTCCAAATTCTCAAAATTCCTCAAATTCCTCAAATTCCCCAAATTTCTAAGTTCCCATCTTCCTACATTCCCAAGCTCCTAAACTCCAAATTCCCAAAATTCTCAAATTCCAAATTTCCAAGTTCCAAAGTTCCTAAGTTCTTCAAATTTCCCAAATTCCCCAAATTCCCCAAATTTCCCAAATGCTCCAAATTCTCCAAATTCCACAAATTTCCAAGTTCCCATCTTCCTACATTCCCAAGCTCTCAAACCTCAAATTTTCAAAATTCTCAAATTCCAAATTTCCAAATTTCCAAGTTCCAAAGTTCCTAAGTTTTTCAAATTTCCCAAATTCCCCAAATTTCCCAAATGCCCCAAATTCTCCAAATTCCATAAATTTCCAAGTTCCCATCTTCCTACATTCCCAAGCTCCTAAACTCCAAATTCCCAAAATTCTCAAATTCCAAATTTCCAAATTTCCAAGTTCCAAAGTTCCTAAGTTCTTCAAATTTCCCAAATTCCCCAAATTCCCCAAATTTCCCAAATGCTCCAAATTCTCCAAATTCCACAAATTTCCAAGTTCCCATCTTCCTACATTCCCAAGCTCTCAAACCTCAAATTTTCAAAATTCTCAAATTCCAAATTTCCAAATTTCCAAGTTCCAAAGTTCCTAAGTTCTTCAAATTTCCCAAATTCTCCAAATTCTCCAAATTTTCCAAATTCTCCAAATTCTCAAAATTCCTCAAATTCCTCAAATTCCCCGAATTTCCAAGTTCCCATCTTCCTACATTCCCAAGCTCTCAAACCGCAAATTTTCAAAATTCTCAAATTCCAAATTTCCAAGTTCCAAAGTTCCTAAGTTCTTCAAATTTCCCAAATTCCCCAAATTTCCCAAATGCCCCAAATTCTCAAAATTCCATAAATTTCCAAGTTCCCATCTTCCTGCATTCCCAAGCTCCTAAACCCCAAATTCCCAAAATTCTCAAATTCCAAATCTTCAAGTTTCAAAGTTCCTAAATTCTCCAAAAAAGCTCAAATTCTAAAAATTTCCAAACTCCTAACTTCTCAAATTTCAAAATCCCAAAATCCCCAAATTCCCAAATCCAAAAAATCCTAAATTTCTCATATTCCCAAATTTCCAAATTCCCAAGTTTCATTGTTCCTCAATTCCTAAATTTCCAAATAAAAATACGTAATTTAAATAAAGCTAAATATTCCAAACGCATAAATATCTCGAAACGAAGAACATCTCCATTGTCATAATCTCAAGATCTCCATTATCATAATCACCGACACACACATATATACATTACACCTCAAACAGAAACATTACGACCAAGAAATTACAGCTTTTGATTATTCTCGTTTATTAAACAATTACAGTTACACGATAATAGTTTAATAAATTTCTTACAAAAGATAAACTGATTTCACATATTTCTTTTTCAGACTCACAACATTGTTGCATCCCAGTCATCAACAGTGCATCACCGTTAGTCATTCGTTGATTCAACTACTGCCCGCAAGTGACCCAAGAAAAGCCGAGCTGTGCAAACGTGTTATGGAAACAACCAAATTGTTGGATCCTTACGGGGCGAGGGTTGCATTGTACACGGCTGTTGCTTTAAGAGAATTATCCGCTTGTCCGGGAGAAGACAAGAAGGATCTTTTAGAAAAAGCGTTGTCCCTGCTGCAATACGAGCCGGAGAATTCGCCTGGTCATAAGCTTAGGACGTTAATAAATACCGAATTAAAATACATGTAAACGTTTTATGACCGTGATTATGTGATTAATTTTTGTTATATTGGGTTGACCAGAAAGTTTTGTCACTTTGTAAGATATTTTTATTTGTTACATTTTAAACGTTATACATTAAATCTTATATTCTACAATCTTACTATTGTATGTAAAACTTATATTAATTGTTTGACAAGGTGAATTATTGTTAAGGCCTTTTATTATTGAACATTTATACTGTTATAAAACTTGGTTCATTCATACCAATATTTTTAAGTTTATCCGTTATTAAAATTATTAGCAATATTTTTAAGTTTATTTATTATTAAAATTATTAGCAGTAATTTTAAGTTGTACTTGTAAAATTTTGTCAAAATTAGATTCAGTATTTTTAATTTTAATGAGAAATTTGATTATACTTAACACTGTTTTTTGACACCCTAAAATGTAAGTTTCAAGGTTACTTTTAAAAAGAAGAAATAAATGAATTATGAGTAAAAATGATGAATGAAGTAAATGAAAAATGACATAACTTTTCAGTCAACCCAGAACTTATACTTTTGAATATTGACTGGTATTTTAAATAAATGATTAAAGTTGCATTGACTACGCTAGGTTATTATCGATTAGCAATTATACAGCAGCGGACATCTTTGATCTTTGTGGCAGTGGTATCGGTATTAAATCTACAAGGTGTAAAAAAATAAAAAAATTGATATAGTTATTTGTATTCGGTTGTCCAGTACGTATAGTCGTGACTATTAGCACCGTGATGCATAGTTTTTTGTATAAAATTATTGAAATTATGAGGTTGTTGCGTGTCAAATAACGCATTTCGGAACACAGAATGACACGATTTCGTGACATAGTATCGTTAAATAACACTCATGGCATATCAGTTTAAAGCTTGAAGTTTGATAAAAATTATTGTACAATTAGTTTAATAATATCTTCATTATACTAAAATATAAATTATTGGAAATATATTTGTTAATATATTTATACTTGATACATTCATACATTGATACTTGTTGATACATTGTTTATTTCAACGAAAAAGCTATTTTGTATTGAAAATATTATTGAAACGTTTATGTACATTCTTTTATTAAACTTTAAGCTTTAAATTGATGTGTCATAAGTAATATTTAGTGATACTTTTATGTCATGACATCATGTCACATTATTTATGTTTTGAAATTGCTCATTATTTCCTATAACCGACAGTCCGCCATTTTATACTGAATTATGAATAAAGAGTTTACATAGACTTTTCCGTTAGATTTTAAGCTTTAAATTAATGTGTCATAGATGATATTTAGTGATATTTTTATGTCATGAAATCGTGTCACATTATTTATGTTTTGAAATTGGTCATTATTTGCTGTAACCCTACAGTCCACCATTTTGTATTAAAATTATGAACAAAGAGTTTACATAGACTTTTTCGTTAGATTTCAAGCTTCAAATTGATGTGCCATAAACGTCGTTTTGTGATACTTTTATGTCATGAATTCATATCACATTATTTGTGTCTTTAAATCAATTATTATTTGCCACAATTGACAGTCAGCCATTTTATATTAAAAACATGAACAGATTTATGAAACTTTCTTTATCAGAATATGAACTTTAAATTGATTCGTTACAATTTATTAATAAACTGTCATAAAATGCAGTTTGACTCTCGTGTCCAAAAAATGCTATTTAATAAACAACAACCTAATATATTGCATAATATAGTATTTACAATGCAAGTGTAATTAGTACCTATATTGACAATATTACTGATTTATGTTTTTACAGAAAACGTTGTAGAAATGTAACTTAAACTAGAGAAAAACAAATGCAAATTCTATGTAAACATTATGGAGTTACAATTGGTTGTAAATCTGGACTAGATTTAGCCTCGAAAAAGAATATTTTATAATAAGAAGAATTTTGAATTTTAAAGATAGACTATATCATCGGATTAACCTTTAAATAAATGTAATGTCTGTGCACTAAAATCCATATAAAAGAGCAACACTAAACGTTGGAAAACAAGAAAACAGAATTACAAGAGAAGAAAAATGGATTCAAGGGCAAACACAGAAAATTTGTCTATTTTGCAATTTATGCATTCACATTTTCACTTCAAGTTATAAATAATTTATTTTACTAAAAGACTGATATTCAAAATAGTAAAGCTAAACAAAATTAGGATACTAACAAAATTCATATTTTTAAAGTTTTACAAAACCTAAGGTGTCCACCTAATTTTATTTAATAAAAAATCGATAATTTAGTCCAAACGTTAGCGAAAGATTTGAAACAGAATGAAATTTCGCACCATTGCAAAAGGTCCGTATTCGCCCTTGAGTTCGAGATTGGGTACTACTCGCACAACCTTCTTTCGAATAAAAACAAGACATTCAAGAACAGGGAATCAAATAATATTTGAAAATTTTCGAAAAATCCCAACTATTCAAAACCCAGTGTGAGAACAGTCTCGTAGTTCGCGGCGATATAACGAGAGTCCACCGTAATTCTCAAGCAGCCATATTTTCGAAAATAGAAAATTCTCGAATATCTTCGTTTTAATTTCGTGTACGAAGATTATTTAAATAATGCCCAACTCGGTAAAAGATTGTCATTGGTTATTCCTATTTTGTTCGATGAGCATCGTTAGTATCAAGGTAGACAGGAACGTCGAGTACGTACAACTAACAACGGATAGGATAAAGATTGACCCTTTAATTGAGCCGTGATTTGTAAGAGATAAGTCTTCCCTGGTTGCAGTCTCTTCAGGGTGAACGGAAGCGCTCGATCTTTCGGCGGGCTTTGTTTCTCTTCGCAGACTTCGAAAGTATATTCGGAACGTCGTCGACGATGAAGGCCACATTGGTCTGGTATCGTTGTTATGCTGGATAATGACGAGGCACTTTTTAATTCTCGTACCAGGATGCAATATTTTGCTGCACCCGCTGATTCTACTCCTACTGTCACCTCGTGGCACGTTCTTAGGGATCTGTACTCGTGGGGTGCACTTCTGGATGGTATCTAAACAAAATATTTTGGTAAACATAACTGTATTTGTGAGCGTTCTTTTATTAATTATATGTATACTTGTAAAAGCATCTTCATTCATCATAAGTGTAATTGTAAATGAATTTTGATTAAGAAAAAGTATACTTGTAAGGGCATTTTGATTAATCATAAGTATACTTGTAAGTGCATTTTGATTAATGGTAAGTGTACTTGTAAGGGCATTTTGATTAATCATAAGTATAGTTGTAAGTGCGTTTTGATTAATGGTAAGTGTACTTCTAAGCGCATTTTGATTAATCATAAGTGTACTTGTAAATGCATTTTGACCAAGAATAAGTGCACTTGTAAGTGCATTCTTATTAATCGTGAGTGTACTTGTAAGTACATTTATAAATCATAAACATATACTTTTAATAACAGCAAGTGTACTAGCAAGCGTTTTTTCATTAACCAAAAGTGTACTCCTTTAGATTCATGGTATTTTGTAACGTTTTCACTGTTTATTTTGATCCTCATCAGGTTATCTCGTATAAATTATTAGAATTTTTGTAGAATTTAAATTATCATGATAATTATTGTGAGAGTAACAGATTGTTTTGGGTTAGGTTGAGGTTAAGTTAGAATATTGTTAAACATTTTTTTAATACATATATGATAATTATTTTAAGAAATAATAATATGTGTGACTTAGTTCTGAGTTCAGTTCAAATATTATTAAATAGCTTTACACTATTAAAATTATCTTCTTATAATATGTCTCAATTGTATTTGCATTAAGTACAAACAGTTATTAAATAATTTTCGAAACATTTGATTCATCATAATTACTCTAAAAATTATTCTAACAATTAATAATTATAATAATTTATCAAACTTGAGGAAAGATTAAGTGCTATTAAGTATTATTACATTTTCATAATAAACATTTAAATTGTCATAATAATTATGCATTACAAAAATTATTCTGAGTACAATAATTTATTATACATGTACATTATATAATATAAAAATGAAGTCAATAATTTTTGTAGTGATCATGATTACTCATATTTGCAAACAGAAATTAAATAATTTTTACAATAAAAGTTTGTTTAACTCTAAAATATACAACAATTATTATAATAACTCAAATATCACAAAGAATGTAATAATTTATAACAAAATTATCAACAGGCACACATACTTGAAAATAAAAATACTACAATAATTATATCACTCACCTAATATAATTTATCAGATGTAAAATAAGAAATAACTTAATATCAATACATAATAAATATTTCTTTCTGATGAACAAAATAGTAAACCACCAAATGTTTCTTATACCTTGCAAACTATACACTGGAAACTTCTACAATAAGAGTTCGGAATCTGCCACAATAAAAGCGGTCATATAACGCCTGAATAATAGCAACCATAACGTGTCTTGCTACACATGTCCATTTCCACTTTGACGGGCATAGTGTAGCTAAGTGTATTAACCTAGGAATCTCGAGGTGCTACAAGGTTTATGGTTAGTCTAGGAGATGGAGAGCTTTTACAGTTATTTTTATCAAGTTTGGAGCTTCAAATTGATGCGACGTAAGCGTCACTTTACTACCTCTTTATGTCATGAAATTAGATTTTAAATAACATTCTACGATAAGCTATGTACCATTGTGGTAACAATGTTAAGATAATAATTGCAAACTATAGAGAGTTTGGAAGATTTGAATTTTGGAACTTGGGGATTGTAAAATTTTGGAATTCCGGAATTTTAGAATTTTAGAATTTTGCAAATTTGGAAATTTGAAAATTTGGAAATTTGGAAATTTGGAATTTTGGAAGTTTGGAATTTTGGAAGTTTGGAATTTTGGAATTTTGGAAGTTTGGAAATTTGGAAATTTGAAATTTTTGAAGTTTGGAATTTTGGAAATTTGGAATTTTGGAATTTTGGAAGTTTGGAAGTTTGGAAGTTTGGGAATTTTGGAAATTTGAAAATTTGGAATTTTGGTAATTTGGAATTTTGAAATTGTGGAAATTTTGGAAATTTGGAAATTTGGAATTTTGGAATTGTGGAATTGTGGAATTTTGGAATTTTGGAAATTTTGAAATTTTGAAATTTAGAATTTTGGTAATTTGGAATTTTGGTAATTTAGAATTTTGAAATTGTGGAAATTTTGGAAATTTGGAAATTTGGAATTGTGGAATTGTGGAATTTTGGAATTTTGGAATTTTGGAAGTTTGGAAATTTGGAATTTTGGAATTTTGGAAGTTTGGAAATTTGGAATTTTGGAATTTTGGAAGTTTGGAAGTTTGGAAGTTTGGAATTTTGGAAATTTGAAAATTTGGAATTTTGGTAATTTGGAATTTTGGAATTGTGGAATTGTGGAATTTTGGAATTTTGGAATTTTGGAAATTTTGAAATTTTGAAATTTAGAATTTTGGTAATTTGGAATTTTGAAATTGTGGGAATTTGGGAATTTGGGAATTTGGGAATTTGGGAATTTGGGAATTTGGGAATTTGGGAATTTGGGAATTTGGGAATTTGGGAATTTGGGAATTTGGGAATTTGGGAATTTGGGAATTTGGGAATTTGGGAATTTGGGAATTTGGGAATTTGGGAATTTGGGAATTTGGGAATTTGGGAATTTGGGAATTTGGGAATTTGGGAATTTGGGAATTTGGGAATTTGGGAATTTGGGAATTTGGGAATTTGGGAATTTGGGAATTTGGGAATTTGGGAATTTGGGAATTTGGGAATTTGGGAATTTGGGAATTTGGGAATTTGGGAATTTGGGAATTTGGGAATTTGGGAATTTGGGAATTTGGGAATTTGGGAATTTGGGAATTTGGGAATTTGGGAATTTGGGAATTTGGGAATTTGGGAATTTGGGAATTTGGGAATTTGGGAATTTGGGAATTTGGGAATTTGGGAATTTGGGAATTTGGGAATTTGGGAATTTGGGAATTTGGGAATTTGGGAATTTGGGAATTTGGGAATTTGGGAATTTGGGAATTTGGGAATTTGGGAATTTGGGAATTTGGGAATTTGGGAATTTGGGAATTTGGGAATTTGGGAATTTGGGAATTTGGGAATTTGGGAATTTGGGAATTTGGGAATTTGGGAATTTGGGAATTTGGGAATTTGGGAATTTGGGAATTTGGGAATTTGGGAATTTGGGAATTTGGGAATTTGGGAATTTGGGAATTTGGGAATTTGGGAATTTGGGAATTTGGGAATTTGGGAATTTGGGAATTTGGGAATTTGGGAATTTGGGAATTTGGGAATTTGGGAATTTGGGAATTTGGGAATTTGGGAATTTGGGAATTTGGGAATTTGGGAATTTGGGAATTTGGGAATTTGGGAATTTGGGAATTTGGGAATTTGGGAATTTGGGAATTTGGGAATTTGGGAATTTGGGAATTTGGGAATTTGGGAATTTGGGAATTTGGGAATTTGGGAATTTGGGAATTTGGGAATTTGGGAATTTGGGAATTTGGGAATTTGGGAATTTGGGAATTTGGGAATTTGGGAATTTGGGAATTTGGGAATTTGGGAATTTGGGAATTTGGGAATTTGGGAATTTGGGAATTTGGGAATTTGGGAATTTGGGAATTTGGGAATTTGGGAATTTGGGAATTTGGGAATTTGGGAATTTGGGAATTTGGGAATTTGCGGAATTTGGGAAATTTCGAGGTTTGGAAATTTTGAACTTTGGGAATATAGGAATTTAGGAATATGGGGATTTGGAAATTTGGGAGTTTGGGGAATTTGGAAATTTAGAACTTTGAGAAAGTAGATATTTGGGAATTTAAGAAGTTGGAAATTTGGCAATTTGGGGGATTTGAAAATTGGAGGATCTAGGCATTTGGGATTTTGGAATTTGAAAATTTGAGAATTTGGAGAATTTGAAGAATTTGGGAATTTGAGAATTTGGGAATTTGGGAATTTGGGAATTTGGGAATTTGGGAATTTGGGAATTTGGGAATTTGGGAATTTGGGAATTTGGGAATTTGGGAATTTGGGAATTTGGGAATTTGGGAATTTGGGAATTTGGGAATTTGGGAATTTGGGAATTTGGGAATTTGGGAATTTGGGAATTTGGGAATTTGGGAATTTGGGAATTTGGGAATTTGGGAATTTGGGAATTTGGGAATTTGGGAATTTGGGAATTTGGGAATTTGGGAATTTGGGAATTTGGGAATTTGGGAATTTGGGAATTTGGGAATTTGGGAATTTGAGAATTTGGGAATTTGGGAATTTGGGAATTTGCGGAATTTGGGAAATTTCGAGGTTTGGAAATTTTGAACTTTGGGAATATAGGAATTTAGGAATATGGGGATTTGGAAATTTGGGAGTTTGGGGAATTTGGAAATTTAGAACTTTGGGAATTTAGGAATTTGGGTATTTGGAAATTTGGGACTTTGGGGAATTTGAAAATTTAGAACTTTGGGAATTTGGGGGATTTGGGGATTGGGGAGTCTGGGAATTTGGAACTTGGATCTTGAGAATTTGGGAATTTGAAGATTTTGGGGGATTTGGGGGATTTAGAAATGTAGAACTTTGGGGAGTTACAAATTTGGGATTTTGGAGAATTTAGGAACTTTGCAACTTGGAAATTTGGAATTTGAGAATTTTAGAAATTTGGGATTTGGGAGCTCGAGAATATAGGAAAATGGGAACTTGGAAATTTGAAAAATTTGGGAATTTGGAAATTTAGGAATTTGAGAATTTGGAAATTTGGAAATTTGGTAATCAGAAATATGGAAATTTCAAAATATTGATGTATATACGCAGTTAATAAAAATGCGAAGTCATAGACATTTTTCCAAATTTTCACGAAAAATTAATAAATAAAATATTATTCTAATTGAAAGGTAATTATTTTTATTACATTTGAAAGTTAAAAAATATTAATTTTTGTTTTGAAACTAAAATCAATTTAACGCAGATATTAACTGTTACAACTTTGCATTGTAACACGCATGGTGTCTGACCATAGTCTGCGTATAATAACTTGTTCTTAAAACTAACTAGAACATTACTTATCTTCTTATTCCTAGTTATAATTTGTCCTATATTTAAATAATGCAATAAACTTGCAATAGTATGCATAATTTCTCTTTAAACAAAATAATATAAAGAAAGTTCATTTATCGTTACTTTTTGATTATTATTCTGATATATTAATCATATATTACTGATTACAGCACAAAGGGAATTTGTTTATTATTATTTCATGATGATTACTATTGTATTATTTTGATTTACTGACAATGTACAAATAATTATTACTACTGATAAGAGTTCAAAAACATATTTACTGATAAAGCTAAAAATGTTGCTCAACATTGCAAATTTAGTTAAAGTGCTTAATGAAATATGACAGGTTTTCAAATTTAATTTAATTCATATTTAATTATTACTAGTGATAAGAGTTCGAGAGAATATTCATTGGCAAAATTAAGAATGTTGCTCAACATTGCAAACTTAGTTGAAGTGCTTAATGAAATATGACAGGTTTTCAAATTTAATTTTATTCATATTTAATTATTACTAGTGACAAGAGTTCGAGAGAATATTTATTGGCAAAATTAAAAATGTTGCTCAACATTGCAAACTTAGTTGAAGTGCTTAATGAAATATGACAGGTTTTCAAATTTAATTTAATTCATATTTAATTGTTACTAGTGATAAGAGTTCGAGAGAATATTCATTGGCATAATTAAAAATGTTGCTCAACATTGCAAACTTAGTTGAAGGCTCAATGAAATATGACAGGTTTTCAAATTTAATTTAAAAAAGTATTTTGTTAATAGGATGTATTATTTTTACTGTGTTCAGTCTTAATCGTGTAATCGATATTTTCTTACCCTCAAAATTCCTGGTCCACTCAATTTCGCTTTGACGATACCACCGCCACAAGGAAGAATATGAAAGGTGCTCGAAATGTTTCCTGGCGGACGATACCGGAAGTTAACGAATCCATCAGTTTTACGTAAATTGGCAGTCGTGTATCGTCCAGTGCGTAGCATTAGCTCCGGTGTTTTTCGAAATCTTAAGGCGTCGGTTGCTATCCGATTCGAAACATTATTTCGTGTGTTCACCTGATGTATGGTCGAAGCAATTATAATTGTAAGATTTATTGCAGTTTTTAATATGTGGAGATTATACTGTTTTTAATTAGAAATGTTTTCTTTTTATTCTAATTTCATGACATTTCTAAATTATTTGTTATGTAGACAGAAATGGTTTAGAGAATAATTCTGAACATTCTTTTTATTTAGGATGCAGAAGGTTAATTATAATCACATTAATCAAAGTACAAAAAAAATATGGATGTAATAGAGTACAAAAATATAGAAATGTAGCAATGTAGCAATGCAGAAATGTAGCAATGTAGCAATGTAGAAATGTCGCAATGTAAAAATGTTGAACTGTAGGCATGTAAACATGTTGTAATGAAGACATGTGGAATTGAGATATGTAGAAATGTAGACATGTAGACGTGTAGACATGTTCTAATGAAGACATGTAAAATTTAGGCATGTTGAATTTAGACATGTAGAAATGTAAACATGTTGTAATGAAGACATATAGAAATATAGAAATATGCAGATATGGAGATATAGAAATATGGAAATATGGAAAAATAGAAATATAGAAATATGAAAATATGGGAATATGGAAGAATAAAAATATAGAAATATAGAAATATAGAAATATAGAAATACGAAGATATGGAGATATAGAAATATGGAAATATGGAAATATGGAAAAATGGAAAAATGGAAAAATAGAAAAATAGAAAAATAAAAAACGAGAAAAAAAGAAAGCTAGAAAGCTAAAAAACTAGAGAGCTAGAAAACTAGAAAACAAGAAAACTAGAAAACTGGAAAACTGGAAAGCTAGAAAGCTAGAAAACCAGAAAACTAGAAAACTAGAAAACTAGAAAACTAGAAAACTAGAAAACTAGAAAACTAGAAAACTAGAAAACTAGAAAACTAGAAAACTAGAAAACTAGAAAACTAGAAAACTAGAAAACTAGAAAACTAGAAAACTAGAAAACTAGAAAACTAGAAAACTAGAAAACTAGAAAACTAGAAAACTAGAAAACTAGAAAACTAGAAAACTAGAAAACTAGAAAACTAGAAAACTAGAAAACTAGAAAACTAGAAAACTAGAAAACTAGAAAACTAGAAAACTAGAAAACTAGAAAACTAGAAAACTAGAAAACTAGAAAACTAGAAAACTAGAAAACTAGAAAACTAGAAAACTAGAAAACTAGAAAACTAGAAAACTAGAAAACTAGAAAACTAGAAAACTAGAAAACTAGAAAACTAGAAAACTAGAAAACTAGAAAACTAGAAAACTAGAAAACTAGAAAACTAGAAAACTAGAAAACTAGAAAACTAGAAAACTAGAAAACTAGAAAACTAGAAAACTAGAAAACTAGAAAACTAGAAAACTAGAAAACTAGAAAACTAGAAAACTAGAAAACTAGAAAACTAGAAAACTAGAAAACTAGAAAACTAGAAAACTAGAAAACTAGAAAACTAGAAAACTAGAAAACTAGAAAACTAGAAAACTAGAAAACTAGAAAACTAGAAAACTAGAAAACTAGAAAACTAGAAAACTAGAAAACTAGAAAACTAGAAAACTAGAAAACTAGAAAACTAGAAAACTAGAAAACTAGAAAACTAGAAAACTAGAAAACTAGAAAACTAGAAAACTAGAAAACTAGAAAACTAGAAAACTAGAAAACTAGAAAACTAGAAAACTAGAAAACTAGAAAACTAGAAAACTAGAAAACTAGAAAACTAGAAAACTAGAAAACTAGAAAACTAGAAAACTAGAAAACTAGAAAACTAGAAAACTAGAAAACTAGAAAACTAGAAAACTAGAAAACTAGAAAACTAGAAAACTAGAAAACTAGAAAACTAGAAAACTAGAAAACTAGAAAACTAGAAAACTAGAAAACTAGAAAACTAGAAAACTAGAAAACTAGAAAACTAGAAAACTAGAAAACTAGAAAACTAGAAAGCTAGAAAACTAGAAAACTAGAAAGCTAGAAAACCAGAAAACTAGAAAACTCGAAGACTCGAAAACTGGAAAACTAGAAGACTAGAAGACTAGAAGACTAGAAAACTAGAAAGCAAGAAAACTAGAAAACTAGAAAACTAGAAAACTAGAAAACCAGGATACCAGAAAACCAGAAAACTAGAAAACTAGAAAACAAGAAAACTAGAAAAACATTATAGAAATTAAGAAATGTAGAAACATAAAAATACAGTAACATAAAAACGCAAAACCAAAAAATACAAAGCCCAAGAAAAATGATCCAGTCGACAAAAGAAAACGATCCAAAAATATTCAAAGCATATTAAACAAAGAGACTCAGAATTATATCCAAAAGAAAAAAATACTCTCTGTATATTAAAAAAGGAACATGCAGACTACTCGTAAACACAAAATCGTTTCGCATAAACTCGTTTCAAGTCGCGATTACTAACCACGTATAACGTGAAATTGTACGTAGTATCGTACTTCATCCTGTGAAGCGTCAATTTTGTTTGACGCACGCAATGAAGTCCTTCCGGAATGCCACGATGCTGTTGTTCCTTTGAAGAGCTTCCTTTAGTTGGATGAGGATGAACACGTAAAACATTCTGTGCTGCGCAAAGTGTTAAGGGATGAGCTTGCGATCCTGACGTGACGGCCAAACAGTAATGGGACAGGTGGGGGTCTATGTTGCTGTAAAAACAAATCAATTTTCACTTATTAAATTGCATCTCATTCTTTCAATAACATCACGAGCTCAGATATTTAATAACTTAACTATACGATTATTCGACATTATTATTTTTAAAAACGTAATAGTACGGACATTTAGATTATTTAGATTGGGAATTGAGATTTGAAAATATGGATATACATATGTAAAGACACATAAGGGTACAGGGATATAGGGTTATATAGTTATAGGGACAGAGGAATATAAGGATATTGTAGTGAGACAAGCATGAATGAATATGGAAACTTAGGGATGTATGTATGTTAAGACATAAAAATTTCGAATTTCAGAAGTATGGAAATATATGATCTAGAATCTAGTACAAGATTCTAGTACATAATCTAGAATCTAGTACAAAATAGTACAAGTACATCAGGATCTAGTAACATCGGGATTCAGTACTGTTTGGGTTTTGAGATATCGAGATATAGAGATGATAGTGGGATCTAGGGATATTTGAATCTAGGGATACTGGATCTAGGGATATTTGGGGCTTATGGGTATTTGGGATCTAGGGATATTTGGGATCCAAGGACATTTGAGACCCAGAGATATTTGGGATCCAGGGATATTTGCGATCCAGGGATATTTGGGATCCAGGGATATTTGGGAGCCAGGGATATTTGGGATCCAAGGACATTTAGGATCCAGGGATATTTGGGATCTAGGGATATTTGGGATCCAGGGATATTTGGGATCCTGAGATATTAGTACCTTGAGATATTTGGGATTTAGGGATATCGTGTTCCAGGGATAATCGGGTCTAGAGATGTTTGGATCTAGGGATATTGGTACGTTGAGATGTCTAGGTCTAGGGATACCGGTACCTTGGAATGTCGAGATCTAGGGACATTTGGGTCCAGGGATGTTTGGCTCTATAGATATTAGTACCTTGAGATATTTGGGATTTAGGGATATCGTATTCCAGGGATATTCGGGTCTAGGGATGTTTGGATCTAGGGATATTGGTACCTTGAGATATCTAGGTCTAGGGATATCGGTACCTTGGAATGTCGAGATCTAGGGATATTTGGGTCCAGGGATGTTTGGATCTATAGATATTAGTACCATGAAATACCTCAGGCTAGTGATATCGGTACCTTGGAATATCAGAATGTAGGGATATCCGGTACCTTAGATTCTAAGGCTTAGAATGTCGATACTTTGGTATATACAAGAAATATACAAATTTTTAAGTTCAGGAATTTAGGTCTATAGAAACATAGAAATAATATAATATAGTGATATAGGGATTTTCGGGATCTAGGAATCTAGAAATATACGTACATTAAAAAAGTGTATAAGGAAAGGTAAATAAATACATCAATAAACTACTATAATTATATTTGTTATTATACTAGTTTTTTTTAAAAATGAAAATATCACTAGTACCTACCTTTTATTCCAAGATATCGTAAGTCGTCGTTTGCTCCTCCTTTGTTGAAATCTCAACGAATGATGACGATTTTCCCTTTCGTTCGCGTACAATTCCGGGATGTGGCGTAACTCACTAGACGTTGCATACAAAAGCACCGTGCTAGGTGTCAATTTTTGTAAATTTGCATCCGGCGGATCTATAGACTTAATCTCGAACCAATAAAGACCAGCTCGTGTCTTTGATATCGTGAAATTCTGATCCTCCGCACCCTTGTACGTAAAAAGAGGCGAACCTGGCTTCAAACTTTTCACCGGCCATCGCGATTGCGCTGTTGTATCAATCACAATTCTAAATTGTTAGTGTAATTTATTTAAACGAAGACGAAACGTGATCAAAATATTATATGACTTTCTAAATATAATTATTCTTCATTTATTTATATCATATCAAATGAATTTTCATTTTAATCATTATATGTTTCATATTTATAATAAACGTTTTATATTTATAAGTTTTTTTATTGTTTTTTAGTTGCATTATATCAGGTTGCTTAAAGTAAAAGGATTCACATCATTTTTATTTATTAAAATTTTTTAACTGTTTTCGTAGGCAAAATTGATTAGCTCATCAGTAAACTATTACTGTTTTTCGCATTGCTTTTTATGAATTTTGTTTATGCACAAAAGCAAAATAATATATGAAATAAATAATGAAAATACAAACTTCAAAATAAAATTATATAAAGTATTATATGTTATTAAGCCATATAATATTTTTTCCCATTATGTATTTTTCTAACTTAAGTTATTTATTCTGACTTGTTAATTCAAAAAATAATCTTTATTTAATGGATGCTTGGAAATAACGCAACATTTAAGGAACACTTTTTGCAATTGAAGCTACAGTAATTTTAAAAACAATTATCAAAAAATGTATAATTAAATATTAAGGATGGTTGAAAAATGTTAAGTGCTAATAATTCTAACAAAGATCATTCAATAATTAAAGACACAAATAATCTATTAGATACTGTACATTATAATATTTATTAGACAGTTCTCTAAATTTTGATTACTATAATTTAATCTTAAAGCACCTATCAAATCTATATAAATAATTCTTCTTAAAATCAGGAAGTTTAATATAAAATTTTCATGATAGTTTTTAGTACAGTTTCGAAATTATAAATATCACAATACAATTTTGATCGGGATTAAAAATTTGAATAGATTTAAAGTTTTGTTAATCTGTCTCTTTATTTTGTGAATGATCCCCGTATAATTTATACTTGTGTGATTGATTTCATACAATTTGTTCCTTCCGTTTCTTCGCTGTTTTCCGGTGGTTCGACGTAACTGACCGTCCACGATATCGGCCCGCTACAGGGGCTAACGAGTAACGTAAGAGGTGGACCTTCTCTCGGACTGAGATAATAGAACCTGCAATAATTTCATCTGCATCCAGTACGATATTAATGTTAGATACATATTAAATTTAATGAAATACGAAAAAGAATGTAGTGTGAGAAGCAAATGTCAGATACATACTTTTAATTTTCTATAATTAGAATTTCATTTTTCAATCTCTAAAATACATTGTGTTGGCCAAAGGTTATATCATAATCAGTATACTTTATTCAATTCATGTGTCAACGCATTCTTTTTCTTTAGTTCCTACATGGCCTTGAAGTGAATTTAATTATCTCATTATCTCACAATTTAGTATCTTGGAGATTTTCTATGAGAAAACAGTGCCAAGTGTGCCAATGGAGTCTTTCATCAGTTATAAATGGTTCAAATGAAAGATGCAAGGACTGACTGGTACTATATTATAGTATTTTCACTAAGGACATTGTTTAAACTTGAAAAAGCAGTGAATTTGAACTAAGTTTCAGTTTGCAAAATTTTTCGTTGAAAATATTTTCATGAATGATCCATGTTTCACAAAAGCACAATTATAGGTCAATGATGATTAAAAGAAGATTTTGATGAATCTTCCTTACATGCTGAGACCACAGTAAAATTGTATAACAAGATTTTAAGTACTTGTGCTAAATTTTTGTGTGAAAAACAACACAACTATTTGGCCAACTCAATATACTCAAATAACTAAAATACAAAATAGACTGAATAATTTTGTAATGAATATAAAGTACATAAAAATGTATATGAAACGTATACGTATATGTCTACATACATAAACGTATGTCTACGTTAAAATCTCTCCAATAATGTGTCGTATCACATATGTATGTCTAGTACTACTGTTCATACATTGACAGTAGAATTAGATGCCATTAGCACGGCACACGCCATTTTGAATTATTAAAGAGTCATACTACTTTAAGCAATTAACAACAGTATATAATTTATTATAATACGTAGAAAAACTTTTTATTTCTCGCACAGATAAATTAGTAAACTTTTATTCAATTTCAAATTTTGTATGGACTTAAAAGTCAGTTACTAAACATAACCTAACACATAAGATTAAATTTAGTTTATTTTAAACAACGTTTTTAATACAAATTATCTATGACTACCAAATAGATGATTCACATGTTTTCTTTTTGAAATTAAGAAATGTATTGAAAAGCTTTTTCAGGAAAACTGTGTTGCTTCTCATTGAAATAAATTGCAGACATTAAGTTTCATTGTTACTTTACTTATCCTCAATTTTAAATCATATGTTCATTCAGTGTTAATTTATTACAACACTTTCGTCGAAACCTGTGCTGTCAAGATAAAGAATTACTATTTATTAATTTATACATATTTTACATAATTTATCTTTCATCAAATAATGTGTTCTGTTAACCATCCTTTCTACGTCTCTAATCACATGTACACTGAATAAAATACTTTTGCCCCACAGTGTACTCGCACACACACTCAGTCATAGAGACACGTATCAAGACTACAAATGCAACATGTCGTTTATATTTAGTCATAATGTTTGATCGTGTCCGTACAAAAGTCCCCTTTTAAAGATCCCGTACCGGTTGAGCTTACGGCTGGGCATAGTCGTCGTTGTATCATTCTTTCTCTGTCTTTCTTTCGTTTGAACATTACGGTGGCCCCTCCGGCCCCCCCGGCCCCTTCGTTCACCCTGCGGAAGCATCCCTTTCGGAACATCGTCGCGGCTCATCCCGGTTAGAATCGTCCGAGAGAGCGTCGGGACGCCGCACGTGCTCTTCGCCGACTGCCTGGCACTGAAACGGCTATTGTAAAATTAGCGTCTACACACAATGCCGGCGTCGCGGCGTCTGGGGTCGCACAGCCACGACCCCCGTCGTCTAATTTTGGCGGTCGGTTTGTCCCACTACAGACTCGAATTGATTCTGTCATTCGGGGTCCTCGTCGCGAGGACGTCTCGTGACTTTCGTGGAAATCCGCGCCAATAGCTCGTTCCTGCGACGCGTCGCGACGCCTTCGAGCACGCACTGGATACGCGGCGACGTCGATTTTAATCGGTGATCGATGCTTGTTAACATATTACGTGCGGCGTATACTGATCTTGCAAACCACTTGAGAACTGAAGAATTTTTTTGAAATTGTACAGGCAAACGTAGACATCTTAACGCGTTACCATATTAAGAAGTTGGAAATTCTGTTAAGTATTTTTATTTTCAACAAACGTTACCAAAAATTTTCACAGTATTTTCTATATTATTCGTAGTTTCTAGTGGTTCAAGTGTTTTCAGATAATTAAATAATGTAGGTGATGGATTCATAGAAGAATTTTTTTGAAATTGTAGAGTCAAATGTACACATCTTAACACATTGACTGCCATATTAAGAAGTTGGAAATTTTGTTAAGTACTCTTATCAAATGCCACAAACAATTTTCATAATATTTATTACATTATTTGCGGTTTCTAGTGGTTCAAGTATTTTCAGATAGGTAATTAAATAATGTAGGTGATGGGTTCATAGAAGAATTTTTTTGAAATTGTACAGTCAAATGTAGACATCTTAACACATTGACTGTCATATTAAGAAGTTGGAAATTTTGTTAAGTACTCTTATCAAATGCCACAAACAATTTTCATAATATTTATTACATTATTTGCGGTTTCTAGTGGTTCAAGTATTTTCAGATAGGTAATTAAATAATGTAGGTGATGGGTTCATAGAAGAATTTTTTTGTAATTGTAGAGTCAAATGTAGACATCGTAACGCGATACCATATTAAGAAGTTAGAAATTTTGTTAAGTATTTTTACTTTTGACAAATGTTACAAAAAATTTTCAGGATATTTACTACAGTATTAGCAGTTTCTAGTGGTTCAAGTATCTTCAGATAGGTAATTAAACGATGTAGGTGATGGTTTAAGCGTCATCCATATATGGCAGCTAAGGTGTTAATGTCATACTGTGTTTATTATATGTATGTAGTCCCTTCTCTTGTCCATTTTGCTTTTGTGACTATTCGAAAATTATACGTACGTGAAAAAGAAATTTAACCGTTCAGAACGTAACGGATACTGCATTGTTGCGGTTGAAAATTTGATTTGATATTTTTTGTTTAAGAAGTCTCGTAGAATATTATCGAGATATTTTGTTATATTTATTACTTACAGTTCCGAGTAGTTAATACGAGTATTTGAAATTAGGTTGACAAACTCCTAATAATATAGCTGATGGAGTTGTAGGGAAATTTAAGTGTCACTCATATGTGAATGATGTGACAGTTAAAGTGTTAACCAGTTTATTGTGGTTAGATTAGAATTTGGATTGGTTTCTCAAGTTATTGCTAACGAAAGAGAGAAAATGAAATCTTTGAATGTATTGCATTTAATAATGGGTCCTATCTCGATTTTTTGTTTCTTGTTAGATTTATTGCTTGAGCCTGATTGAATGTTCATTTTTTGATGTAATGATTTTTAGGATTTATTGTTTAAACCTGATTTCTCATTTATTTGATTTATCAATTTTCTGGATTTATCGTTTGAGACTGATTTGTTCTTTGTTGTTCGTATTATTGAATAATAGAATTAATTATTTGAGACTAATTAATTGTTTATTCCTTGATTTATTGAATTTCAGGGTTGATTGAGCCCAATTTATCATAAAGTAAAATTAATTCTTTGAGCTCTGTGATTTTGTTTATTTTGAATTTTTGATTTATGGTTTGTCAATTATATGAACATTGGGATTTATTTCTTTATATACCGTATATTTCGAACTATATTAGCAAGTCAATCGATTGATATTATTTTATATGATATTTATGACGAAGTAGGTTGTTTTTGTTTTCGTTAATTAGTTAGACGCAAATATATACGCAGCACGTGAAAATTGCAATTTACTATAAATGAAGTTTTAATAAAATTAATGAAGTATGGAGATAAATGTTCTTCATATTTCACAATAAAGCTGAAAAGTATTTTACAGAAAGGATGTTGATTATTCTATTTATATCAAGGATGATTAATTAATAATAAAAAATTGTACCCTCGAGCAATTTTATTTAAGTTATAAAATATATAATTAGATAATGAAGATATGTACAGTAGGAAAGTATAGAATTGTTAAATTGTAAAATTTCAGAACTGTAAGATTACAGAATTGCAGAATATGTGGAACTTTAGAATTGTAATATTGTTGCATCGTTAACTTTTAATATTTTAGTTTTCTGAATTACAGAATTGCAAAATTGCAGAATTATAATATTGTAAAATCGTATAATTATTGAATTGCTAAGTAATTGCATTTTAGAATTTCAAAATTTCAAAGTTTCAAAGTTTGAAAGTTTCAAAATTTCAAAATTACAGAATTACAGAATTACAATATTGTAGAATTGTAGAGTTGTCGAACTGTAGAATCGTGGAAATGCGGAATTGCGGAATTGTGGAATTATGGAATTGTGGAATTGTGGAATGGTAAAATTGTGGAAATGTGGAGTTGTGGAATCGTAGACTCGTGGAATGGTGGAATCGTGGAATGGTGAAGTCGTAAAATTATGGAATTGTGGAATGGTAGAATTGTGGAATCGTGGAATGGTGGAATCGTGGAATTATGGAATTGTGGAATGGTAGAATTGTGGAATGGTGGAATTGTGGAATCGTAGAATCGTGGAATCATGGAATGGTGGAATCGTGGAATTATGGAATTGTGGAATGGTAGAATTGTGGAAATGTGGAATCGTGGAATCGTGGAATGGTGGAATCGTGGAATCGTGGAATCGTGGAATGGTGGAATGGTGGAATGGTGGAATCGTAGAATCGTAGAATCGTGGAATCGTGATCGTAGAATCGTAGAATCGTGGAATCGTGGAATCGTAGAATCGTAGAATCGTGGAATCGTGGAATCGTAGAATCGTAGAATCGTGGAATCGTGGAATCGTAGAATCGTAGAATCGTAGAATCGTAGAATCGTAGAATCGTAGAATCGTAGGATCGTAGTATTACGAAAATGAAGAATCATAGATTTGTAGAC